ATCTAGCATATAAATTAAGACAGAAAACAAAAAACAAGATCAACCAGTGATTCCAGCACTGGGGAAGCTGAGGCAGAAGGATCATCCTGAGTTCAAGGCCAGCCTGGACTGCACAGTGAGTTCAAGGCCAGCCTGAACTACAAAGTGAGATCTGGTTTTAACAAACAAACACCAAGATCAGTCTCTTAAGAGCTGCCATCCTTAGTCATAATTACTCTATCCTTGCTTTCCCTACCCAGGAATAATTCTCTTTACTTTCAGGTTGATTTTCCTTTTATCTTTTTATGGTTTCATCACATAAATATGCATTGCTAAACAATACTGAGAAACAAGCATAGGACAGCAAGGAAAGGAAAGGATGGTTTGGTGCTAGATCCAAATTCCCAGGAGAAGAGGTGCTGGACATCACGTATAGGTCTTGATGTGGCTTTTCCCCCTTTGAGACAGGGTCTTCTTCTGTAGTTCAGGCTGGCCTTGAGCTCGCTTTGTGGCCCAGGCTGGTCTCAAATTTGCAATGATCCTGCTGCCTCAGCCTCCAGCATGCTGGGATTACAGATGTGCACCACAATACCCAGTTGGTGGGGCTTTTTAAAAGCTTGCTTGGAGGTGTGCAAGGTTTTCTGAGCAGATCAATGGGCAAGGTCATGATGGAGTCTTGGGAAAGACAGAGCTCATTGCAGTGAGGGTTTGTGGCATTTTCTAGACAGAATATGGTCAGGGCAGCAGGCTGCTCTACACTTTTTGCTTTGGAATTTGGTCTCATCTCCTTTTCTCAGAAGCAGATCAAAAGCAGAACTCTTGAACAGGCAGCCCGGAAAGGAGGGAAGCCTTGTAACTTATAACCCTTGGTCAAGAGAAATCAGGTACCAGTAAGAACAGAGGCTAGCCTCGCAGGGTATTCTGACCAAGGTTCTAAAGATCGTAACTGGCAGCAGGGATCTTGGAAGTGACAACTGTCACTATGCTTGTCTGCTGAGTTAGTCACACTGCTTCAGTTTGGGCTGATGTCCCTCTCCATGAGGTGCACAGCTGACATCCTGGTGACTCCATTCGCCATCTTCCAAGGAATTTCCACCTCTGTCTCCTTTCCTGTGCCAGACCTCTGCTTCCCGCAATCTGCACTGCCTACTTTTGTTTTACTCCTGATTTTAGTGGAGTACTTTCTCTAGCCCTTTTTCAGAAACAGTGTGTGGGAAGTAAGAGTCCTATGCCTGAAAATGTGTATAACTTACTTGGTTGATAGTTTAAGTATGTTTTAATTCTGGGTTGAAAGGCGTCTTCAAAAATTACAAAGTATTGCTTTTAACTTTCAGTAATGCAGTTGAAAATTGTGAAGATTTTCTTATATTTGATATCTCATACATAACTTTTTTCTTTCTAGAAGTTTCCAGACTCTTCTATTTAATATGCTTTGGTGTGGGTTTATTTTCACCCACAATGCTGGAGTCTTGGTGGGTTTATGATCTGGTAATTCAGGTTCTTGTGTTTTGGAAAATTTACTTGAATTAGTTAATTGACGATTTCCTCTGATCTTTTATTTTGTTTTTTAGAATGTGTATTATTTTGATGTTGATCTCATAGAATTATTCTCTTATGTGCTTATTTTTTCAATCCTGTATTTCCTACCTGTTAGTAATTTCCTAGCAAATGTAACACACTTGTCTGATTTTCCATGAAGTGTTTTTTACACTGTTATGATTTCCTTTTCATAAATTAAAAATGCTATTAATGCATGTTTTCAGTACATAATGATTACATTCATGATGAGGAGTGAGTACATGTACACAACACAGCTTAATTCTTTTTATGCCAGCTGGGCGTGGTGGCTCATGCCTGTAATCCCAGCACTCAGGAGGCTGAGGAGGGAGGATCATTGCGAGTTCGAGATCAGCCTGGACTACAAAGTGAGCTCAAGGCCAGCCTGAACTGCATAGCGAGACCCCATATCAAAAAAAGACCAAAAAAAATTCTTCTTATGCCTCCTCCCTTTCTCCCCCCTCCAATCATTTGGTCCCCTTCCCATCTGCAAAAGATCTATATTGCTATTGCTGTATCACTAAGATACATGGCAAGTTCTTCTCATTTTACTTAGAGACAGGGTAAGTTGCACAGGCCGGGCCCTGAATTGTGATCCTCCTGCCTTAACCTCCTTAGAACCTGGGATTACAGACATGTGCCATCATGGCACCTTGCTGGTATCTTACTCTTATATTGTGGATGTAGCATCATGTTACTCCCTGTAGATACTAGTAAACAGTCTTTTTGATGCCTTTTTTCTCTCTGTATAACTCATTTCCTCTATGTCGCTTTTTAAATTGTTTGTTTTGTCTCTCTGCTGTGTTAGAAAGCTTCCTGGATGTCTGATGATCTTGGATCATGATTAAGGTTGGAGGGTGATGTACGAGATTCCAAGCTCATAGGATGAGTTTGGCTCCATGGAGAGATCGAGCTGGACTGTATTTGCAGAATCACCTCTGTCGATTTCTATGGGTCTTTCCTGTTGGGCTGGTGAAATGTGCCATGGTAGAGTCTTTCTGTCTCCAGTTTGGAGAACAAAGGTCCTGCTCCCACCACCTTGGGAGCATGGCTGTGAGAGAAGCCTCAAATCCCATTACCTTCTGTTTCAGCTTCTTCTGAAGAAAACCTCCACACCCTGACTGGAGTACGGGAAGGACTGTTTCCAGTGGCTTATGTGTTAGGAATCTAACACATTTCACCTTAATCTTTAGCCACCACTTCCACAGTTACAGAGGCACCTTGGACTGCCAGTTCCTGAGAGTCATGCAATGTAAATCAAGTCACTCCTAGTTCCCCACTGCCTGCTGAAGAGGTCTTTTTTCCCAGGGCTAAGTCAGTGACCGCATGACCGCCTAGCATCCTGTCTCAAAAGTTCTGCTGCCATGGTCTCCTTTTCTGGTCTCTCTGTCCTTAGAAGTCTGTCTCCCGATTTAAAAACCTCTCTACTGAGGTTTAAATGGGGTTTTGAGGGTGAGTGGAGTTAGATGATGCATTCAATTACTACCTTAACCCAGCACTCTAACTTCCAATTTCAGTATCTTTTTCAAAATAAACTTCCTAGGAATAAACCTACTTGGTCATGGAGGATTGCTATTTTAATGTACTGGGAGATATTTATTTCAGTTTTTCCATTTAGAAGTCTTTAAGTGAATGTGATTAGCAGGAAATGAGACTTTCTATAAGAAGGATTCAAAGAAAATATCTCCAATGGGATAGCTTTTAAGTATATGAAAGACTCAGGCGGTCGTGAGTTCGATCCCCGGTACCGATAAAAATGAAAAAAGACAAAAAAAAAAAAAACAAAAAAAAAAAAAACAAAAAAAAAAAAAAAAAAAAAGTATATGAAAGACAACCAGAAACTGAGCCTGTATGCTGTCTTGAGGCAGCTGCTAATGGACTATGGGAGGTGAGGGGAGCCCGAAAGTTACGCCCAGTGGTACAATTAAGGGTTACCCTCTGCACTGTTTGGTTTGGGGATCTAGAATAAACCCCAGTCTTCATCATTGATTGGTCCTGAGAGGAGCTCAGTTGGTATCCTGATTTCTTCTTGTATCAATGATGTGGGAGGAGTTCTGTGATCACAAAGTGAGTCCCAGATGCCTCTGTGAAACACAACTTATTGCCCACATGGGCCCCAGGATCACTTATTTACTTATGAAATAGCTGTTGAGCATTCACCATGAGAAGAGCATGATGTCAGTTCTCTGGGCAGAATTTGCCTTAGGTAATTCTTTTTTTTTTTTCTTTTTAATTCTTGAAATGGGGCCATATACTCAAGAATTGGCCTTGAACTCTGCATCCTCCTGCCTCAGCATCCTGAGTAGCTGGCATTACAGGCACATACTGCTCTCAGCTGCCTAGATAATTCTTTAAGCACCACCCCCAGCACCACCTTACAGAGCAGAAGTGCAGTAATAACTGGAAAGGAGGAAAGTAAGTGGTGAATGTAACACAGTAATGGTAATTTTTCTCTCTGGGTCATAATTCACAAAAAGAGAAGAGACTCATGTAGCATCTAGCATAGTGCTCTGCATGCAGTAGGACGGATGTCTCAATCTGGTGCAGGGAAACTCAACTTCTCTTATGCTTTTTTTTTTTTTGAGACACAGTCTTGCTATGTAGTTCAGGCTGGCCTGGCATTCACTATGTAACCCAGGCTGGCCTTGAATTCACAACAATCTTCCTGCCTCAGCCTCCTGAGTGCTGAGTATAACAGGCATATGCCACCATGCCCTGCTTTCCAGCAGACATTTCTAAAACTGTTTTTCAAAGATGTCTTTGGCAAAAAGAAATGGTACAGCAGGGAATGACACTTGGCAGTTGGACTGTGAAATATTGGAGGTACTCCCCTGCAGCAGTACAACTGTTTGCAAACCACCAGGTGGTGGAGAGGGCAGGCAGAGAGATTGAGTTCAAGTCTGGCGAACTACGTCATCCTGGGCCATTTTCGGGGTCTGAATTTACCTATCTGGAAAATGGGGACATTCATCGGGTTGTGGCAAGGACTCACAAGGTAAGGTTATACTAATTATAGTAAGAGTTTAACAGAGTGGCTTTTATAACCTGGGGCACCATTGAGGCAGGCTGCTGTGTGTGCACGTGAGCCTGTGTGTGCACGCGCGGTGCCCTGGCCCGCGGGTGTGTTTCCTGGGGTTGGCGTGCCTGTCGATATGCGCGGTGGCGGCTCTGGGAGTCTGATTGCCGGCAGCAGGCTGAGAACGAGGCGCCCGAGCTCGCCGAGGCTGATTGGCAGCGCTGGGTGAATGAGCGCGTGTAGAGTGGGGCACCGAGGCGGCCGCGGCTGGGCGCTGCTGTGTGTGCCCGCCTGCCCGCCCGGGTAGGGGGCAGCTCGCGGGCGGTGGGCTGGGTGGGGGAGAGAGCGAGGAGGAGGGCGCGGAGCAGGAGGGAGGGCCGTGAGAGCGCGGCTGCCGCGGAGCCCCGGCGCGGGCGCGGGGCCGGAGAGCCGGGCGCGCAGCCAGGAGGCGGCGCCGCGGGGAGGAGCGCGGAGTGCGAGCCGAGCCGAGCGGAGCGGAGCGGGCCTCCCGCCTGCGAGCGCGCTGCGGGCCGCGGCCGGGCCGGGGCTGCCGGGGGCCAGTGGGTCGGTGAGGCTGCAGCTGCCCGGACGAGCTGAGCGACAGCGGGGACCGGGTGCGGATCTCCGGTCCCGGCACCCGGAGCAACTGAGAGGACGGGTGAGACTCCGCGGAGCGCTGCCCAGCTGGGGGCCATCGCGACCGCCCCTCCTGGGGGACTTGGCCGAGGAGCCCAGCGTGAGGAAGGGAGCCAAGAGGAGCAGGTCGGCCGGTCCAGCCTGAAGGAGTGTGTGTGTGTGTGTGTGTGTGCGTGTGTGTGTACATGAGCATGCATGTGTTCCTGCCAGGGGTGGGCGTGTAGGGGAATGGGGGGGGGTGCTGGTGTGTGATGTGTGTCTGGCAGTGTGCATGTGTGTCGGGGGCGGGAGTGCCTCTTTGACTGTGTGTGCTGAGAGGAGAGAGCGAGGAGGTGGACCTTGGGTCTGAACCATGTAGAGGGAGGGGGCTCATCAGGACGGAGTGTATGTGTGTGCGTGCTGATGTGTGCAGGGGTATGTGACGGGTGAGTGGGTGTGTCAGGGGTGCTAGGTGTGGCCGTGTGTGTGATGTAAGGGTGCCGGGTGCACGTGTGTCCCTGGCTCACCCTCCCTTCCCCCACCAGATGTGTGCGCATGGAGAGGAGAGTTCTGGGGAGAGGGCGGGAGTCCCTGCAGCTGCCCCTGGCCCAGCTCTCCGGCTTGTTTTCTCCCCCTGTGAACCAGAAACGACTAAACTTCCCCTCCCTCAAATACTTGTAGGGTCCCTAGGAGAGGGGCAGACCTAACCCCAAAAGAGGGGAGGGATTCAGGAGAGGGAGACCCTGCTGCTCTGGGCACAGCCTGGCAGTCTCTGGCTCTGCAGATCTCTCAGACTGTGCTTTGCCCCTCTGGGGGCCCTCAGTGGTATCTCAGATGGGGCTAGAAGTGGGGATTTGGACACATCTGGGAGGGTTTGCTTGATCGAAGCTGTATTCCCAGAAGGGTGCTTGGCATCACAGGCCTCCGTGGGTATTCACGGGAGGAAAGGAGTCTGGGAAGAAGGGGGGAAGGGAGGAAGACAGTCTGCATCTGGGAGTCAAGTTGGACCTCTGCTGTGGTTAAGGGTGCTGATTCTCTGGCTGCAGTGGTGGACTCCAGTCCCCCCTGTGCAGGGGTGGGATTAGGCAGCGCTGGGGAAGCTGCAGGGCCTAAAGGTACAAGAAGAAGCTGGCCAGAGGAGCCATCCTGTCTCTCTCCTCAGGCAGAAGAATTTGCCTCCCCCACCCCCTTGCTTTTCTGTGATCAGAAATCTCCATTTGGGGCATCCGATCCTGGGACAGGGAAGAGGGTGGTGGCAGCCAGGGCTCACAAGTCCTCTCTTCCCTGCAGGACCTTGAAGCTCAAAAGGTGCTGAAGAAGGGAGCCCCTGGCCCACTTGACTGCTGAGGCCAGGTGGCCATGGCAGGGCGTGGCTGCCTCTGGCTGGAGCTGTTCTGCTGGGTCCTGCTTGCTCTTCCTGTGGGCCCCCAGCCTGCCTCTTCTGTCCCAGGTGCCCTTACCACTCTGACCCCACCACCTCAGAGTGAGGCCTCCATGCTGTCTCTCAACCTGGGGCTAAACTTCAAATTCCATCTTCGGGGACCTGCTGCTGTCTGGGGAAACTCTGTCACAGAGACCCAGGCTCTTTCTCCTGGCCCAGCCCAAGAGCCAGAGGATGAGGTGGCCAATGGGCTAAGGACGGACTCCCTTTGGGAACTGCTAGTAGGCCCCCCTGGGAACTCTCTCTCAGAGTGGGGCTCTGCCGAAGGCAGCTCTACATCCTGGGCCTCCTCCCTGTCTCCTGAGTCCACATCCTCCCTCTCTGGGCCCACCCACCGTCCAACTACTCCCTATCAGCCCAGGATGGCCACTGTGACCTGGGCCAGTGCTCTGACTGCAACAGCACCATCATCCAGTGTTCCCAGGCCCCAGCATAGTGAGCTGGAGCTGAAGTTTGATATGGCATTGAGAGCAGGTGCAGCCCCCACACTGGGGCATCGAACACTGCCCCTCCTGCCCAGCTTGCGGGCCAGCCTGGCAGAGATTGCTGGGCGCCTGGGACCCTTTGGTGAGTACCCACCCTGTTGGAGAACAACCCCTGCTGGGCATCCCTGGCACACAGGAGACAGTTTCAGCCTGGACTCCTTTTACAGGGTTCTTTGGTACTACTCTGTCCCCGCTCCGGAACTTCTCAGGCCTGAGACCCCCAGGCATAACAACATCCCCAACCTCTGCCTCCAGAGTGTCAGACTCTCCAGGTGAGTGTTCATTTTATTGTAGCAAAAACTGGTGGGGCCCTCTGCATGCTAGGTGCTATGGTAGGGAGATGCTTCTCTAGACCCTAGGGGAAGTATTCTCTCTGCAACATTGACTCTGACTTGGTGTCTGTAGCTTAGCAAAATGTGCATACACTCATGACCTTAGGGTGTGGGGTACACTTCCTCAGTAGAAACTCTGGGAAGTACAGGATTTTGTTCCAAGTTCTAGAAGCCACAGTTGGCTGGTAGAGTGGGTGGCACTTGAGCCCTGTATGCTCCTGTTGCAGGGTTCTTTGGTACCACTCTGTCCCAGTCCCTACCCTCTCTGGAGAGGAAACTCTCAAGCCCAAGCCTACTGGACCCAGCTTCTTTCCTAAGCACTGTCTCAACTGGGACAACTCCAGTACAACATGGTAAGTATCAACTCAGTTGAACCTGACAACTATTTCTTGAGCGCTTGCTACACACGAGTCACTTATCAGTGTTCTGAGACTTTTATTCCATTGTTCTTATAATGATAATCACCATTCTGTTCATCATCGCTGTGGAGAAATACACATTAATGGTCTGAGAACCGGAGTTGCAGGAAAAGGTCCCACAAGAAATTAAGGAGTGGTCCTCTGAGAGGTTTGCAGTTACAGGCAGAGCAGCTTGGAGACATCCTCCACTGTTGGTAGCCTGGCCTACCTCTGCACCCACCTCCATCCCAGTCCAATTTGCAACTCTTCTCTGCCTTCTGATCTGATATGACACACTGTCAAATATGGGCAGAGTTGGACCCTCATTGGGAAGACATTGAAGAGGAGACCACAGGCAGAGAGACGACAACTTCATTCACAGGAGCCATTTACAACATGCTACTAGACAAGTGGGTGGCCTGTTGAGACTGGTTTTGAATTCCTTTGCTTCCTTGCTAGCTGGGTAACCTTGGGCAAGGCACTTACTGTCTCTGAGTCTAAATTCTCTCACTTATCTAGGGTTTAATGATAGTACTCATTTTTCAGAGATACTGTAAAGCTTCTAGATAACAGAAACTCTTGACCCAATGATGCCAGTCACAAAGTAGAAGTTTATTTAAAGTAGCAGCTATTAACCTTGCTCTTCTCTCTGACTCCATGCCAAATAGACGTCCAGATCCTACTTCATAGCCACCCTGGCTTTGACCGCAGGTGATGGTAGGACAACACATGACCAACGTGTAACACCAGACAAAGGCAGTGGTGATTGGGAATGGGGTCTGGCAGATGAGGCCACCAGGCCATGGAAAGTGATTGCTAAGCTAAGTTTTGCTCTTCCAAGCATGTGCTGTAGCTGTGAAGCCCCTCAGCCCTCTCTTACTAGGCTCAGCCATGGCCTCCACTGTTTTCTACCTTCTTCCAGCCCCACACCTGACACCACATCCCACCTTCTGGCTCCAGCCTCTGTTACTGTGCTCCCTCAGCACTGGGTAAGGCTCCAGCCACTCCCCTGTGCATCCTGTGTATGGCAGAAGGATCCACGGGGGGCGGGGAACTTTTGCCTCAGGGGAAGGATACTGGCTGGCAGTCTGTCAGCCTGGGTGACAGTGCTGGCCAGGCAGGTTTAATGAGTCTGGACAGTATCAGAGGCAGCTGAGCCTGGCAGGCTGGCAACCCTGCCTTCCTTCCCCCGCACTCACTGGTGGCTGCATGACGCCAGCCTCTTCCTGGATGCTCCTGTAGATAAACCCAGAAGGTCCACAGGCCTCCTGGAGATAAGATCAATTGGCTTTGCTCAATTGGACTGGGCACATGTGCATGTGCACATATGCGCATGTGTGTATGTGTGTGTGTGTGTGTATACAGTAGGTGGGAAAATGACGAGGCTCACTGTGTTTTTTCTAGGATCTTTCTCACCAATAGCAATCCAAAGTTGCCATTGACTTTGGCTTCCTAGATGTTCCTAATCATGGATCCCTTTCATCTTAAACAGACCTTGTATGGGAACCCTAAATACTCCAACAGTTGCACAAGTCATAACACACTGGAAGACTCAGGCCACTCTGTCCTGAGTCCCTGTGAGTGCTCTTGTCCACTCCCTCACCACCCTGGCAGGGCCCTGTTCTGACTGGCTGGCACCTGTACTACACTGTTGTTAAATATGTTGAGTGTCACCGTCATGAAGAATATCAGTGTTCTGGGATCCTGGGGGTGGGGGTGGGGTGGGAGAGGGATGGAGCAGGCCACTAACGGGCTGCAGCTTCCAGAATCCAGAGTGGGAATGCCATTCCCAGGCGTCTGATGTGGGCAGTTGGGGGATAATCAGGCCTGGCTTTCCATGAATGAGACAGCTCCTCCCCCTGCGCTTTCTCAGCCAGTTCCAGCCTCACCCGTTGACACATTGACATCCTGTCTCCTCCTTTACCCATGAGGTCAAGAAGGGTCACAGGGCCAAAATGGGACCTCCCTGAAGAGGTGGCCTGCTCAGGGAGGGATCCATGGAGGGATAGATTGAAGGTCTCTATTTTCTGGGGGAAAAATGAAGGCTCTTTCTGGGGAAATCACAAATGCAAAGATGAGAGATGAGGTCAAGTGGAGCCTTTGAAGGCAGAAGCGAGGTGTCTACCTGTTTCTACCCTCGCCTGGCCCATGCAAGCACACCAGGCACATGACAACCCTTGGAAACAAAGCTGCTAATTCAGAACTCCCTCTCTGACACTTGAGCTGCACTTACACACTGCCCGTTTTCTGTATTTTATTTCTTTTCTGAATTCTTATGAATGTTGAAATTGGCCCTGGTTGCCACAGGACTTGGGGATAGAGATGAGAGATGAGGTTTTCTGTGCCACATGGGTGAGAGGTAAAGATGGAGGACAGTGAAGTAGAGTTGACCTCAGAGAGCTGGACACATCTGTACAGGGAGCGAGGAGGACAAGTAACAGGCTGATACTCTCTGTGGGCTTCTAGGTAGGCCCTCTTGGCCACTCTGTAGGGCCCAAAGGCCAACGAAAGACCAAGCCAATTCAGTCACTGTGCAGAAGCAATGATTTTGACAAGGACCAGAGGGAAACAGAGGATGAGGGGAAGTGTGTTTATCTGATCCTGCCAAAGCTAGACAATGCCTTCCTCTGCTTAGCAGGCTATTTGTTTGTAGATGAATGGCTTCTCATACAAATGATGGCCACTCTCTTTTTTGACCATTCAGGGTTCTTTATGTCATCAGCATGGTACTCTTCAAACAGAGTTCATAAAGTGAAACCATATGTTGATGTTCTCTTATTTAACTATTGTCAGTCACAAAAGTGTATAAACAAACTTGGAATGTGCTAAGGGATTTTCATCCAAATGGCAGCTTTGGTAAGTAAATCAAGAATTAGTCTAAGGACAGAACTGCTCACACTCATATAAACACAAACTGATGGTCAGCCAGTGATGATCATTAGCTGATGAGCATACTGACCATAATCTTATGTTGAATGATCATTACGTACCAGGCACTCCAAAGAGTTAACATGCATTTTCTCATTTATCCTCACAGCTGCCCTATGCAGTAGGCACTCTTACCCAGTTTGGGTTTGCGAACGTGATGGAATGGAAACCAGGGTGCATGCTGCTGTTTGCAGTTGGCAGGAGGCTGTGAATATTCAATTTTTGGCTGCTCCTTCTCAGTCCTCCCTGGTTCTCCAATTCCACCTCTCCCCAGAGTTGCCTTCTGGCCCCTCGCTCCTTTTTCATGTTCTCAGAACTGCTATATTTTGCCTGTGCTAGCAGGAGTTGGCACTGCCTGGGGTAAGGATGTTCCTGGGGTCTTCCTGTCCAGATGAATATGGCTGGGACATGTCCAGCTATTGGGGCAGGCATGTGATCATTAGGACCTTCCTCTCCATTCTACATCTGTCTCTGTCTCCTTCCCTTCCCTATCTGGCTGTCTTTGTCTCCCACTGCCACTCTTTCTTCCTCCATTTCTGCAGTCCTGTTGAGCCTGTGAGGGGAGAGGAAGGAGGGGTCAGGTTCCAACAGTCCCCCATTGCTTAGCCATAGACCGAACTCCTGGGTCTCTTTGGAACTCCTTTCTAGCTCCAGGAGAGAACCAGGGTCTTACTCCACCTCTCCCCACTTTGTAGATTTTCCTTTCCCCCAAGGGATGTGGGAAGATGTTAACACATAGGAGGGGGCCTGACCTAACAAACCCAAGGGTACCTGAGGGCATCACACACTCAGATGGCATTTATCAATCCTATGATCTCCTCAGTTACTACCTTCTGGGAGTTTAAGGGGAGCCTCCAAGACTCAGGTGAGTCCATCTCAATGTAACCTTCTGTAAAATGTATGCATGGGAGATTAAAAGGGCATCTGTATTGAGAGTCTTAGATTTGGCTTGTGGGTGAATTGGTGCTACAGCCAGGGGTAAGCTGAGGATTGAAGTAGAGCTGGTAGGAAGGGCAGTGAATAAGAGAAAATACTGTTCTTTGAGTGTTGTGGACAGGAGAGTCATTTCTCCCTCTGATTTGTGTGTGTTCATGCATGTGTGCAAGGCAAGTATATTCCTTAAAACAGGAAGGGGGAGGAGTTTAAAAAGCCAAGAGAAGCATCTCCTAGCAGCAAAGTGGCAGTTAGGAGTCAGGGGTGCAGAACAGGAGATAAGCAGACTAATATTATAAAGACATTTCAGAGTGGAAAGGGGTTTCTGATTGGTGCTTGGATCTAGATTTTAGCTGAACTCTGCAGATTCATGACCTTGTCACAAGTCACTTTGCCTCTCTGCAGAGCCTTAGTATCTTCATTTGGCAAATAAGATTCATTTACTCAATAAGTATCTGCTCAGTGTGAAGTATGTGCCACAAATCTTTTAAACATGGAGATTCAGAGATGAGCAAAGAGAATGACAATCCTTGTTCTAGTAAAACTGCCTTCCTGGTGAGGGGATTGGGTAGGACTGGGGGAAGGGTGACTGGGTTCTGTGACTTCTGAAGAAAACCTTTTCCAGTAGTATAATCACCAAGTGATGGAGAGAAATGGACAAAGGAGGGAGAGGAGAGGGTGTGAACTGAAGCTTTGGTCTGAAGGTATGGGAGGAGAAAATGAGAGACCAAGAGGTAGGGAGTCTTCTGTGTAAGACCCCCTGGGTGATTGGATTGACCCCCATGCCCCACTGGCTACTGGCTAAGGGCCAGGGATGGGGGGCAAGACTGCACACTTACTTCAGCCAAACATTCTCTGCCCATAGATCACATCGTCCCTACCTCTGGCCCAGATGACCTCCCTCCGGCCAGCCTTGGGAACCCTTCAGCACAGCCGGAGTGCGGGCCAGAGACTTGCAGCGTGGACGTGGGCCAGCTGCCTGATCGGGAGGTGCAGCCTCCGTCCTCCCCGCGACCCCTCTTCTTCCTGACCCTGGAGGCAGACTGGGAAGAGGCCCGGGCTCGCTGGGGGCTGGCCTGGGAGGCCCATGTGTACGGGGCAGGTGCGCTCTTCGGCCTGGTGGCCTTGCTGGCGCTGCTGGCTCTGGCCCTCTTGCCTTGGCGCTGCCCACCCGGCGCCCCCTGCCTGGCGCTGCTGGATCTGCTACTGCTCTCGGCCGGGACCACGCGCGCCTTCCCACTCTTCTACGACGCGTACGGGCACCGCGACAGGCTGCCGACGCTCGCCTGGCTGCTGCTGCAGGACCTTCCACTGCCCTGCCTGGCCGCCGGTCTGGGGCTGGCCTGCCTGCTGCTGGCCCGGCCGCGCCCACCGCGCTGCCCCGCTGGCCTGGCCGCGCTGCTGCTCCTGGGGCTGGGGCTGGCGGCCGCCGCCGCCCTGGGGAGCGCCGCGCACCGCCCGCTGCGGCCCCTGCGGCTCGCCTCGCGCGGGCTGCACGCCTTCCTCGCTGCCCTCCTGTCGGGGCTCCTGCTGGCGCTCTCGTGCTTCAAGGGGCGGCGGCGGCGGGCCGGGGCGCCCCTGGGCGGGTCTGTCTTCAAGGGAGCGACCCCCGTCCCGCAGGCGCGCAGCCCTTTTGCCCCGCGGGAGTCCTGGCGGCGCGCGGCGCGCACTGCCCCGGTGGCTGGCACTTTCGGGCTGCTGAGCGGAGTTCTGCAGGGCTACGAGGTCCTACACGCCCTGGGCTACGGCGGGCAGCCTGGCCTGGAGGGGCCCTGGCCTTGGTGGGCCTTCCAGCTGGGCCTGCGCCTGGGAGAGGTGGGCGTTGCGCTCCCCTTGGCGCTGCTGGGCCTCTACCCCGCGCTCTGCAGCCCTCGCGTGCCTCCGCGCTGCTGGGCCAAGATCTTCCGCTTGTCCCCGGGCCATGCGGCCCCGCTACTGCCCGGAGGCTGGGTCACCGGGCCCCAGGACAAGGAGCCCCTCGGTAGCGCTATCAATCGTGGCGACGCGGAGCTGCTGCAGCTGTGCGCACTGGCAGGGCCGGGCCCCGACTTGCTACTCCAGGGCAGTGGCTGCCCCGGCTTCGAAGGCGCCGCGGACAACCAGGTGCAGTCTCCGGCCTCCTCCCCAGGTAGCGATTGCACTGTGGACTTCCGTCCGCCCTCCCCAATTAACCTTCGGCGCAGCATTGAGGAGGCGCTCTGTAGCGAGGCGCTGCTGGCTCCTGGCCTCTTCCAGGGTCCTGCCTTCGGGGAAACCTTGCCGGGGCTTGGCCTCCACCACAGGTCCTCGCTGGGGACCAAGACCAGGACTGGGCTCAGTGGAAGGTCGGAGGAAGCCCCCAGTTCTCCGGCACCTCCGGAGCTCCCCTCTCCTGGGGCTTGGCCTGCAGGCAGTAGCGCCTCATCTGGCTCTCTGTGTGGACTATCGAGGGACAGCTCGTCCATGCTGTTATGTTCCAGCCCGGACAGGCCTGTACGCTGTCCCCTGGTCTGTGTCCTCAGTCCCCCGCGACCCTCTGAAAGCAGCCTTAGCCTCCAGGTCTCAGGATCTTACCAGGCACTGTCCCCACCCTCCCATGACTCCCCAGAGCCTGCTACTGAGCTGCAGGTAGAGGAGGCCTCGCTACAGGAGCAATTCCTGGATGCTTGTCGACAAATCGATGAGCTGAGCGTGGGCAGTGACACCATTGACCTGTGATAAGTCAGGCACCTCAATGCCTTGCTGCCATAGGCCCTTCTCTGGCACCTGCTCTGTTTGAGACCTGCACACTGTAACCTTCCCCCAATCCTGCCTGGCTCAGATACCTCTCCCCACTTCCTCCCCCATCCAGGGGCTCCTGGGTGGGTGGGTCAGCAGCCAGGCTCTGTTGATTGGGAATTAGTGCCATCTTCTCTGGAGCCCTGGGCACTGATGCCCTCAGCTGCAATTTTAGGCTGGCAGGGGTCCCACTTTCCTTGGCCTTCACCAGCAATAAAGCTCCAAGGTGCTCCACTCTGAAGAGTGAGAGGCTTCCTCAGAAGACCTGGGGCCCTGCGTTGGTCCCATACCCACCTTTGCCATGCCCGGGAATCCCACTCCTGTGATGAGTGAGACTCCCTGTCCTCTACAGGACCCTTCTCCACAGAAAGCTTACTTTACAGCAGGTGGGTGGGAGGTGAATGCTTTCAGAGTTAATTTATCAATAAAATATTTTCAGAGGAGGAAGTTCTGACTTTATTAGAAAAACTTAAATGGAGTAACAGTAGCTGTGGTTCTATCAGAAGTGAGAGTGGGTGAGTCTGTCTCTAATTCTACTGTTCCTCACACAAGACCAATAATTTTGTCCTGTAGCTGAGTTAAGTGAGTGTCCTGAGAGTAGTCCCTTGAAGATCCTTCTCTGACTCCCTGGGAAATGGCTTTTCATAGGCGTGTCATAGGTTCCTGAGAGATGGGGGAGTCCTCAGTGGAAATCCCTGTGATCTCTGGTCCTGATAGACAGCTAATTAGGATTATAGTGCTTCATGGAAATACTGGTACAGATGTAAAAGCACCTGGTTGCCTGAGGCTGGAATCTCCACCAGTCCCCTAGCCACATTCCCACAGTTTGGAATTCACAAAGAGGCTACCTTCTTCACCCACTAACAGGTCCTCTTTGAGGCTGGGGCTTATAGCCACCCCATCTTCTTCCTCTGTACAACTCTCCTCTCCCATGTGTACAGATCCTTCCTGGAGTAAGCCTGTCTTCAGAGCAGTCTCCTGGTGAATCCTAACAATCAAAGCAGAGCTCACAATGCAGAGATCCATAAACACATCCGGCCACCAGGCACTCTATAATCCCTTCCTTGCCTGGAGCAGTTGGCTTGGAGCTCTGTATTTGTCACGTGGCTAAAATGCAGTGGTTCAGTGTGGCACAAAATCAGGACTTGCATTAGGTTTGAAAATAAAAAACCTGACAGTGTTTTGGCAGATGTCCTACACATCACAGGGACATGCACACTAGGTTTACAGTAGAAAAACAGGAACTTGAGAATTTTCTTCAAACTGACCATCAGCTGGTGGGGACTGGAGAAGGGAGGCTGGGAACCAAGGGGGAAGCAGGCAAGAAGTTTAGGAGGGGCTTGGGCCTGCGCAGCTAGTAGATGAATTCAAGTGCAACTCTCCTTGCAAATGAAGGTCTGGCTAGGCTGAGAGGAGCCCACAGGCCTCAGGTCTCAGAGGAAGGAGGGAAGCCAGCAGTGTCTTCATGAGAGTCAGAGTCAAAATGGGGAGAGAAATGGGAGGTGGTGGTGCGGGTGAGGCCGAGGGATGCACCTGGAGTCGTTTTGACCATGTTTTCTTCATCACCTGGCTCAGCTTGGCTTGAAAATTCCTTCTGCATTGTCGCTCTGGGCTGAAGCCCGGAGAACTGCCAGCCTCTTAATTGTGGGCATTTCTCAGTGTCACAGCAGCTGTAGCAGCCCAGCATCTGTGCAGCACTGTGTCAGGCAAGGAGGGCTTATGGCTGCTCTGAGAAAGTGCCTGCTTTCTTCCCCGTGTTCCCTTCCATCTGTGCTCATCTGCTTGTGTTCACACTTGACTCCTTCGGGCATCCCTTTCTCACTCTAATGGCCAGCTGCTCACTCGCTCTCCACATCACGGGCCTCTGGGTTCCACACACACTCCAAAGACCCCCAGTCAATGTATCTGTCTGTCTCTTTCTCAGGTACACACACACTTTGTTTTTAAATGGAAAGAAAAAGACATGGGAATACAACTCTAACATTTCATTGATTTTCCTCAGTAAGAATTACTGCAACACTACTACTTTGAATATGATAATATGCAATATAATAACCACTGTTGTTGTTCTTTGTTGTTGTTGTTTGGCTTTTGTCATTGTTGCTTTTTTTTTATTTGTTTGCTTCTTGATTTTTCTGTTATTTTTTTTTTTTTTTTTGTCTTTTGCCTTTTTATCGGTACCGGGGATCGAACTCACGATTGCCGGCTTGCAAGGCAGCTGCTTATGCCGCTGAGCTAAACCTCCAGCCCTATTTCTTTTTTCTTTAAAAAAAAAAAAAAGAATTACTGCAGCCCTATGATACCCTGAAGAGGCCAGGAGTTGGATTAGAAAACCTTTCTTTCCTTCCCTTTTGTTCCATGTCTTATCCTACATGTTTCCCAGGAGGGAGTCCAGGTAGATCCTAATCCAGATGTCCTGCAATTCCAAATTTTGGTACTGTGGGGGACTGAGGGACAAGCTCATCTATATTCATTCATTCCCATAAAAATATTCTTGAGGGCTTACAATATGGTAGGTTTTGGGGATAGAAAGGTAAAGGAGAAAGATACCAGCGATGGATGTATGAAGTTGCGGATCTTTTGGGGAAGGGCACACATTAAACAACTAATGACATAAATAATCACAATAGCACAAGTAATTAATTACAGCTGTGAGAATGTGGAGACTAAGAACTGTTTGGTATTATAGAAGATTTAGCTTGCGAGGGAGATTGAAACCAGAGAGATGAGGCCTGGCAGAGGCTTGCTGAAAACAGGCCAGGCCTCTCTTACTTCCTCTCCAGTCTCCTGCACAGTGATGGATGAGGGGTAGGCTGGCGGTTTATTTCCCTTGGAAGCCACATTGCAGGGTTTCATGGCTCATGCTATTTAATAAAGAGCACTGCATGTGTCCTGTGTAGATGGATGAGCAAATATTCCTGATAGAAGAACCATGTGCCCTTCCTGATATAAATGGATAGGAGAGGGTGGAGCAGGAAAGAAATGGGGACCCACATGTGAGCTGTGGGGAGAGTAGAAAGGAGTAGTTACACTGTTGTCCTTCCTGAGGGGTAAAAACCCTGCATTGTGGGTAGCTGCTGCCCCCTGATGGTTTTGTCCTTTAAGGAAAATTTGTGTCTACAGTATACAGCATTCATAGGGAGTACTGGAAGTTGGAACAACATTCTCAGGGTCTTTTCTCTGTACATTTTACATCCAGGACTGGGAAGGCCCCCACATATCTGGGGTCACAGAACCTTGTAGTTTGCTCTTTGAGAATGAAATGTCGATTCCTAAGATGGGGAATGGAATAGGGGGGAAAGAGAAAGACTAGAAAGGGTTGTTGAATCTCAAATCAACTTTGTTCAAATGACCTAATTCATTTCCTTTGTCTGTGTGACTATACTACATAAGATTTACCTTGTAGCCTTAACAATCTGTTTTGTATTTAAATGTTTCCTTTCTTAAATTCTGTGTTTAAAAATAACCATGGTGCTGGGTGTAGTGGTGTATGCCTGTAATCCTAGCACTCAGGAGGCTAAGGCACAAGGATCACCATGAGTTCAAGGCCAGCCTGAACTTCACAGTGAAACCCTGGTTCAACAAACAAACAAACAAACAAACAAACAAACAAAAACTATGTGTGCATGTGGGTATTGTAATAGTAGGAAAATTTAGTGGAAAAAAGGTGTGTTTTTGAAGCATATATTGTGTGCTCGGAGGCAAGGCTTCATAAATCTTGATGCTTAGCTGAGTATGGTGGCTCATGCCTGTAATCCCAGCACTCGGGAGGATGAGGCAGGAGTGTTGCTGCAAGCTGGAGACCAGCCTGGGCTGCAAAGTGAACTTGAGAGCAGCCTGAACTGCATAGTGAAACCTTGTCTCAAAAATTAAGAAATAAAAATAAATAAATCTGATGCTTAGTGTTTCCTCTTTTACCTGTATTACTACAACTGGTCGTCCATCCATCACAAAGGAATTGAAAATGAATGGGGCTTGAGGAATAAGTGCACCTTGCTTTTTTCACTATATCTTTCATCCCTTTTTAAGTTTTCTGCCTACTATGCTACTACCCTTTAAAAGCAAAGATTTTGGCTGGGTTGGCCCTGGAGTCTTAGGATTGCAAGTTCAAACCCAACTTGGGTAAGTAAGCAAAAACTCTGTGTTTAAAAAAACAGACTGAGGATATAGTTCATTGAGAAGGGCCTGGATTGAATACCAACCACAACACAAATAAAAATAATGATTTTGGGCAGCAGATACAGCTCAGAGATAGAGCACTTGCTTACCATTGCATAAGGCCCTAGAGTCAATGCCCAGAACTGAAAAAAAAAAATCAAAAGTAAACATAGACACAGGACATTTAAAAGTAATGATTTAGGCCAGGCATTGTGGTACACTCCTGTAATCCCAGCACTTGGGAGGCTGAGGCAGGCGGATCATTGCAAATTCAAGACCAACCTGGGCTACAAAGTGAGCACAAATCCATCCTGAATTGCATATGAGACCCTATTTCAAAAACAAACAAACAAACAAAAAAGTAATGTTTAAAAAAAATACCTTTGGGTACTTTTTCAGCTGGGCAGTCTTCCAGTACAATGGTTTTGCACATGTCTGTTCCTTAGCCCTGTGGGTGGCAAACATTCTGTATGTTTCAGAGCCCAGAAGCACCCAGATATCCGTTTTGTCAATGAGACCTTTCAATCTTGGGTCTGCCTGATAAGCTTACCTCAAGAAGATCTTTTATCCCTGGGTGGTGCTGGTTCTGGGTATTATGTTTGCTTTGGATATGTTCTGATGTGATCTTGAAGTGTGCATGCTGTAAAATATCTATCTGTCTATCTATCTATGCATTTGTTTTGAGACAGGGGTCTCAATCTGTAATTCAAACTTGGCTTTAATTTACTATGTAACCCAAACTGCCAAACTTGTGGCCCATCCTTCTGCCTCAGCCTCCCACGTGCTGCTATTACAGGCATCAGCCACCATGTCCATCAATATATTTGTAAAATTTAAAGAAATGTATATCTCACTCACTAGCTGATATTCTATAAGAGGGCAGGGGCTTTGTCTTTTTATAGCGCATCAATTTTATCTCTAATGCTTGACACATAGTTGGGGCTCAGTAAATATTTATTGAGAGAATAATTGTTTATCATCTGTGTCTATGTGTACTTCAGAAGCTACAATTGATCGGTGAAGCCGAGGTGGTATTTATCTCAGAGAAATGAGAATGTATGTGACATGCTTGTGTCTGTGCATTCTGGCTGCAGTGTCTGCATGTAATCTGGAAATCTGAGAAGACACTTCAGAAAATATGTATTAAGCATTTGTTATATGTCAGATCAAGGTCTGGCGCCAAAATGACTTTTGCCTATTCTGGTGAATTTTGAGTCGACCTCCAGGAACTCAGATTTCAAGAGAGAATAAACCGTAGATGCCAAATTTCCCTATTGTGGGGGCCGTGCTGGGACAGGAGGTGGAACCTCATTCAAGAGGCTCCGCCTCTGGGCGAGCCACTACCTTTGTAAACTCCGGAACGTTTCTTCTGTTTGTTTTCACGGTTTCCTTCGGAGTCTTTTGAGCGACGCGCACTTCCGGGATCTCCTAGTTCTTCGGCGTGCAGGTCTTGTTAAAGCCAGCTTCACGAGTTGCGTGCACCGGCCTGGTCGCCTGTAGCGTCAAGCACCTAGGTTTCCCGGTCTCATGGCCGGTCTGACACTGTTTGTGAGCAACCTCCCGCCTTCTGCCCGAAGTGAGCAGCTGGAAGAGCTGTTCAGTCAGGTGGGGCCGGTGAAGCAGTGCTTCGTGGTGACCGAGAAAGGTAGGGGGCGGGGCGGTCGAAGAGGCTGGGGTTCCTGGGGACGAGGTGGAGCCGGGACAGCGTTCCAGCCTTTAGGAAGCGCTTCGTCACCTTCCCTCAGAAAAGGGACCGGAGTTTCTTTTCCAAGCTGACTACTTTCGACAGTCGCGTAGGGTTGGTTGGTTGAAGAAAGGCAAAGCATCCTCTAGTTTCTTTTTCTTTCTTTCTTTTTTATCCTCTAGTTTCTGTAGCGCTTTCCGTTTCTTATACACGTTCACATATGTGTCTTATTTGTAGTAAGGAAAATTGTTAAGTTAGTAAAGCATCAGTAAGATTTACTGAGAGCCAGTTGAGAGCAAGATGAGGTGCTGAATTTGACAGTATTATTCTGAAGCCTTAAGGCCGTTTTCTATACAAGAATCTAGGACTCAGGGCAATTTTGTAACTCTTAAGTTTGTACAGCTAGGAAGTAGCAATATACTATGCATTCTTCTATCCTAGCCAGTATGTTGTGCTGGGGATGCAGCAATGCACAACAAAATGGAGATCTACAGTCAATAAAGAAGCCAACTACATAATGACAGTGGTAATAAATACTAAGGAGAAAAATCAGAGAAAGGGGACGGGGAGTTTATATGTAAGAGAACTGCAGGGATAGGAGTGGAAGTATAGATAGGTTGACCAGAGAAGCCCAGACTAAAGTGAGAGAACTTAATGTCTTTCAGAGAGAACAGTCTAAATGGACACAGCGAGGTCAAGGATACTGAAGCATGCTGGGCCCTATGGTATGCGCCACCTGTAATTCTTGATTCTCAGGGAGCTAAGGCAGGAGGATCAAAAGTTTGAGGCCAGTCTGGACAACTTTGTGAGACCTCATCTCAAAGTAAAGATTTTAAAAAGGGAGCTTAGTTTGTATGAGGCTATGGATTCAATCCCCAGTACTAAAAAAAGATTTAAAGCAGGCATGTACCTGGTATATGGGAGGAGTGGCAAGGAGGCCAGAGTGACTGGAGTGAAGTGACTGAAGGGAAGATAAATGGGAAATGAACTCTAGAGTAGCAAATCACATGAGAGCATGTAGGCCATCGTAAGGACTTTGACTTTTACTATGTTTATCAGAAACTACTGGTTTTGATCAGAGACCAGTAACTGTGATCTGGTTTACGTTCTGAAAGATTCTCTCTGGGTCCTTGCAAATTGACTATTGGAGAATAAGACAGAAACAGGGAGACCAGTTAGTAGGCTTTTGTAATAATGTAGTGAGAGATCATGGTGTTGGACTAGGACAGTGCTGGGGAGGTGGGAAAAGTGAAAGTGGTTGGATAATGGACTTTTTTTGAAAGAAGATTCACTGATTGGTCAGTTGTGGAGTATAAGGAAAAAAAGGAGACGGGGAGTCCATTCTGATTGCAAGGTTTTTGGCTTGAGCAACTGGAGAGATTGACTGACCTGTGGAATACTGCTTAATGCTTCACATTCTTTTCGATATGTATCATATCACCCAGGACGGCCAGTTGGTATGTATTAAGGTGAAAGAATGGTAACGGTCGTAGAAGCATTCTTTCCTCCTACCTAAACTGCCAAGATAGGTACCTGATGTTACCCAGAACATATATTTAGCTCTCTTCCAAGTCACCAGGAAGCTTCTTTGCCTTTCAGCAGAACAGTTGATTAGAACTGGTGTCGCAGGGATTGCCCCCTCCCCCCCATGTGGTATCAGAGTATGTGAGTAGGCAGTATGATGTGTATTAATGATCAGCCCATTTGGCTTCTATGTGCTAGTGACAGAACTGATTATCAGTGTGGTTCTGGCTGTACAAGCCATGCCACCTGCCTGGTTTTTGGCATTCTAAATGTAGATATAAGTGAATGAGAGGAGAGTGTTATATATTAATTTTTCTTAAACTGCAGATTATTACCCATTAGTTGATTTATTTATTTTTTTCCCTTGAAGCAGGCTTTCACTATGAGGTCCAGGTTGGCCTTGAACTCATTTTGTAGCCCAGGCGGGCCTCAAACTCACAGTGATCCTCTTGCCTCAGCTTCCCAGGTGCTGGGATTACAGGTGTGCACCACCATGCCCAGCCTCCATTAGTAGGTATTGAATGGGTTGCAGCTAGAATTTGCTTATTTATTTTGCTTTTTTGAGAAAGGATCTCACTATGTAGTCAAAGTTGACCTTGAACTCTGTGTAGCCCATGTTGGCCTCAAACTTGTGATTCCTGTATAGTCTCCCATGTGCTGGTATTACAAGGTGTGTACCATTACACCTGGCAAGGTTAAGAGTTTTTAAAAATGAAGTAGAATACCATACATATATGGTATAAGATACAAATACTCATTTGTAAAACTTTTCTGTCAGTTTCCTATAAGGAATTCATATCTTTACCAGTTCCAGTATAGGAACCCTGATGATGGGTTGTCAAAACAGTTTGAAAAACAACTACTAAACCCCTCCAGCTGGTTATGTTCCAGGAAAGGACAGACCATGAAATGGGAATTTTCCTTTTGAGTATTCAGAATATAGGGTATGTGTAATCTTACCTTCCTTGTGGACTTAGCCTAAAATGTTAACAGATCTCTTTTGAGAAAACTGTACTTTCCTATCCAGACAGCTGAGATGTATTGAAAAGAATGATGGATTCAGTGGGGTGGGTGGGTGAGGTGAGATTTTTCTTAATAGTAGCGGCACGATAGTTTCATAGGATTGTTGTAAGTGTTTCTGGATGTAAGGGAGAGTGCTTTGTGCAGATGTAATTATTGTTAGCATGTGGTTTTTTTTTTTTTTCTTGTACTGAGGATTGAACTCACGACCTCATGCTTATCACACAGTCACTGGAGCCCCTGAACTAAATCCCCAACCCTAGTATGTGGTTTATTTGGGCACTGAACTTCACATTTGAGCTGTTTTAGTTTTGGCTGTGCTGATTAGGTAGTGCCTTGATTTTTCTTGTTTGCTGAAAGGTGAGTGGGCAGGTTTTTGAGAGGGAGTTCAAGTGAAATGGATCTCCACATCACAGTGTGTTTTCCTGGTACTGAGCGTCAACTTTAAGCAGTTTTGAAAGAGAGGCCGAGCACTCAAGCAGTGTTTCTTCTGTGGTGGTGGGGCAGACTTCTTGATCTTGTCCCTTTTTGATACACTAAGTTTTTTGTTTTTATTTTTTTGAGACAGGGTCTCATTAAGTAGGCCAGGCTGTCCTTGAACTCACAATGTAGCCCAGGCTTGTCTTGAACTCAAGTCAGTCCTTTTGCCTCAGCCTCTCAAGTGTGTGCACTACCACAGCCAGCTTTTGATACAATAAGTTACTTAAAATTTTACTGTACAAAAAATGTTAACTAAAAAAAAGTATATGAGGACCAGGGATATAGCTCAGTGGCACAGTGCCTGCCTGGCAAGCAGAAAGTCCTGAGTTTGATTCCTGGTATCAAAACAAAAAACAAAAAGCAAAAAAGTACACAAAAAAAGTGCAAAGGGGGATTACTTTTATTTTTTGGTATCAGGAATCAAACTGAGGACCTTGGGTTTGCCAGGCAGGCATTGTGCCACTGCCTTAGCCTGGAGGATTACATTTGATATTTGTAATTATTTATTTGTTTGGTTTTAATATATTTTGTGTGTGTGGGGGTGTACAAACAGTTGAACTCAGGACCTTGTGCTTGCCAGGCAGGTGCTTATACCACTGAGCTATATCCCTGGCCCCTGGTTCTAATATTCTTGTGGAGTCATGTGGGAGAACCCTGGGGTTGTTGTGAATTAGCTCAGCTACTAACACCCTTTACAACATTCACATATTTTTCCTCTATCTCAGATTGTTCTTTGGAAAAAAAGAATGGTAATATTTGCTTTAACTACCTTGGGTTGCCCTGAAGATAAAATGAAGTCAGAAACAGCCGCTTTTGGAGCTGGGTGTGGTGGAGCATGCCTGTAATCCCAGCACTCAGTAGGCTGAGGCAGGAGGATTGCTGTGAGTTCAAGGCCAGCCTGGGCTACAAAGTGAGTTTAAGGCCAACCTTAACTACATAGTGAGACCCTGACTCAAAAAGATTAAAAAAAAAAAAAAAATAGAGACACTTACAGCTACTTTGGAAAGGTTTAATTTGATATTGAATCACTAAGGCTTTAGGAATATCTGCAGACTCCTGAAACAGTGTTTAATTTTTGGGGTTCTTTTTTCATATTTTCAGGCATTTTTTGATGATCTATTCTAAGGAAGGTCTGTATTATTGCATTCTGATTTTCGAAGCTATCATACTTACTTTTCTTACTTTCCCTGGGGATCTTTCCTTCTATCTGATGTTGAGTTCTTTGGGGCCTAGTGTTACCCTAGTGTTAACTAGGGTATGGGTCTTCCATATTCTTGAGAAGGAAAGAAGAAGAACTAGGAGCAAGACACTAAATTAGGAAAGGAGAGGAAACCTAACAGTTTCTGAACAAAGTAGGGAAGGAGCCACTGATACCGGCCGGCCTTTTTCTTTCCCTCCTGGGACTTGTAGTAAGCTGATCACAGGATGACTTCACAGGATGTCTGCTAGCTTAGGCTTTGAGGATTTCCTGGTTTAGTGCTCCTGGCTTCTGATTCTCTGTTCTTTTTCACCCCTACTACCTTCCTTCTTGCCTTGTTCCAGGGAGTAAGGCATGTCGAGGGTTTGGCTATGTCACTTTCTCCATGCTGGAAGACGTTCAGAGGGCCCGTAAGGAGATCACTACTTTTGAAGGTTGTAAGATCAACATCACCATTGCCAAGAAAAAACTGAGGAACAAGTCCAAAGAAAAGAGGAAAAATGGTGAGTTTCTAATAGGTAAAGAGAGTGTTCCTGCAGGTTGAAGAGTGGTGTGAAAGTGAAAGAGCTAGGCAGAGTGGCATTTAGAACTTAGCTTTCCTGCATTTCTTTTCAGTGTCCAAGTCGTCTGGCATATTCGAATGCTCATTTTAATCTTTTGCTTCCATCTCAGGCTGGAAAATGTTGTGTTTCTGGATACTGCTATGCTTAACCCCGTAGTAAATACCATTTGTTACCAGCCTTTTCTCTTTGCTGGCTGTTCTAGAAGTGACTGGTTTTAGAGCACACATTTATCCCATGTTCTTTTTTTTTAAAGAAAATTCAGAGTCTCCAAAGAAGAAGCTGACGACTAAGAAAGCCAAGACAGCTGATAAAAAAGCCAGATTAATTATTCGAAACCTGAGCTTTAAGGTAAATAGTAAGCAGCACTGCATGTTGTAGAGATCTTAGGGCGTGCTCAGAGTTGAAACCCTTCACCAGAATGGTATCATGGAGTGAGCCTCAGCCTGTTGTGTTAAGAAAAGAGCTTTATATAAACAAGAATTTAGTAAGGGCACAAAGTGTGATGATGGCTCTTTTTCGGGAAGCTAGCACAGAGGAGTTAAAAAAGCTCTTTGCCCTCTGAGGTACAAAATAAGATGTCCTCCATTTAGAAACATTTGGTGTCTGGGTCTCCAAAGTAAAAGACTAAAAAGGTTCAAACTCTTCCTAAAGAATGAACTTAATAGCTACTGTTTCATGTTTATTTGCTGTGATATTTTTCTTTTTTCACTTTTGGCTTCAGTGTTCAGAAGATGACTTGAAAGCAGTATTCACTCAATTTGGAGCTGTCTTGGAAGTAAACATTCCAAGGAAGCCAGGTACAAACAAGTATGCCTTCATTTTAGGATTAGTTTAAGGCTATTTAACTTGTCTTTTTCCCTGTATTGCCATGAATTAGAAGTGCAGCAGTTATGTAATGTTCTTCACGAGCTCTTGATAATATGGTGTTTAGGAAATGTCTGGCATAGTGCGTGACAAATAGCTCAAATAATAGTGTTGTTTCTTTGATGGTATTTTTAGATAGATCACAATTAATTTTAGAAGATTAGTTACTGTTGATATTACCTCTCCTTAAGCCTCAATCAGGGTTCATTCAGCAACAGCATACTGTATAATAGTGGTGCCAAACTTATGGCATAGGTATTATTTGTTTTTCTTTTAAGACCAAACGTGTTCATTTATGAGTTGTTTTTTTGTAAAACCTTAGCATTCAGGTTTAATTGCAGTGTTGGCACTTTGTGATAAGTAAGTGGGTTTTGGGTTGCAGTTTGGGTACTTGGTCTTTGAAAGGTTCGCCATCACTAGCGTATAAGGTATTGCTTTGGAGAATAGACCTCATGACTGGCTGGCAGCATTTAGGCTGTCTTGCCAGCCTGAGTTGCTTTAATTTTCTTTATAGTGTTCTGTTAGCTCCCTCTTGCTGCTTCTAACATCTTTGTACATTTATAAACAGATGGAAAGATGCGTGGTTTTGCTTTTGTTCAGTTCAAAAATCTCCTAGAAGCTGGAAAAGCGCTGAAAGGCATGAACATGAAAGACATAAAAGGTGAGTTTTCTATATCTGTACTGTTGACCCAAATATTTCTGGTGTTTGGATGGATTAGCACAGTAACCTATTTTTTATATTTTCTCAAGGTATTTGCACTGTGGAGAGGTCACTGCTAAAATGTGAGCATTTAGAAATACAGTGATACCACATTCATGAATTTAATCCTTTGCAAACTTGCCATTTAGTTGCAGCCAGAATCATGGAAGGAATTCTACCACCAAAATTGTGGAAAGAATTGTTTGTGAACCGAGGTACCACTGTATTTCTAGTACTTGGTTTTAGGGCTAAACTTGAGAACCCAAGCCAAGGGTCTTTTATTTGGTGAGAATATCTTTTAAATTTTTTTACTTTTACTATTATTATTTAATTGTGTGTGTGTGTGTGTGTGTGAGAGAGAGAGAGAGAGAGAGAGAGAGAGAGAGAGAGAGAGAGAGAGATACTGGGATTGTACCCAGGGCCTTGCACTGAGCTACATCTCCAGCCCTTTTTATTTTTTGAGACAAGAGTCTAGCTAAGTTGCTAACTTGCTCAGGCTGGGTGTCTTTGTTACTTTTCTCTCACTGATGAAACAAAATATCTGACACCCACCCAGAGTTAAATGGGAAAAGGTTTATTTAATCACAGTTTGTAGAGGTTTCAGTCCATAGTCTGCTGGCTCCAGTACATGGTGGCACCACAGATAGGGATTGCAGAGGAAAACAGTTCATGGTAGACAGAAGTAACAAAGCAACAAGGAACAAGACAAGCCTCTTTATGTTCTTTATATGATATTTAGGCTACTATGATTAGGACCATGTCAAACCAATCGTTGGAATGATTTAGTAATTGCCCTTAATCGTAGCTTTGCACCATGAATCAGTCACACTCTAGATCTGGCCACTTGTGAAAAAGCCCGCCTATGACTGTGTGAGCCATTTTTTTTTTTGGTACCAGGGATCAAACTCACAACTTCATGCTTGCCAGGCAGGCACTTAGGCCAGTGAGCTAAATCCTCAGTCCCCTGCATGAGGCTTTGTAGGGGACACTTGAACACAAGCTGTGACACTTGGCTTAGACTTACTGTCTTCCTGCATTAGCCTCCCAGAGTGCTGGGAGTACAGATGTACACCACCACGCCCAGCTTAACCTCATAATGAATGTCTGGAAGATACTCAACGATAGATGGAGGTTGGTATTGAGGTTCTTTTTTCTTGATTGTGATACATACCTAGTGCTTATGAGCTATTAATAAACTGTTTAAGAATACTTGTGGTAGGCTGGGGATATAGGTCAGTGACATAAGCATCTGCCTGGCAAGTGCGAGGTCCTGAGTTCAATCCCCAGGTCCACACACGCGCACACACACACACACACACACACACACACACAAAGAATACTTGTGGTATTGATTTTCAGATATTGTATCTAAAGAATGGATTAGCTTAGGGATTTTCTGAGTTCTGAGTAGGGTTCTCATTATTCCAGAATTTGATTTTTTTTTGTCTGTTATTTTTTGATTTTTAGTACTGGGAATTGAACCCAGGGCCTTGCGCATGATGGGCAAACACTGTACTGCTGAGCATCATCCTCAACCCTTTTTATTTTTATTTTTGTTTATTTATATTTTTGTGGAAAAAATATTTGTATATTTAAGAGCCTCAGAACTGGCAGATGTGGCTGGAAAGATTCCTGTTGCATCTGGCCATCAGTGGGACTGGAGTACCTGCAGGGGCAGATGGTCTTCCTGAGAGAGAGGCTTCACCTTGGGTTGAGAAGCCACTTGTACCCCCCTTTGTACCCCTACTTCATTTTATATGACTTTGTAGAAAGGCTGCAGTCTTGTGTACTATTTTAAAAAAGTTGGCTACTGAGAACTTTGTGTAATGACCAACAACCTCTGAATTGGTATTTCTTTTCTCTGCTGCTTTCATTACTGTCTTTGATGGTTAGGAAGTCACTCAGGAAGTTGGAATGTAAATGGAGGAAAGCCTTTCTTTTCTTTTCTTTTTTTAAATTTTTTTTTGATACAGGGATCGAACTTAAAACCTTGCGCTTGCTATGGAAAGCCTTTCTGATGCTGCTTTTCTGTTTGACAGGGCGAATAGTGGCAGTGGACTGGGCTGTGGCAAAGGATAAATACAAAGATACACAATCTGTTTCTGCCTCAGGTAAGGTGTGGTAGTGTTGGGTAAGAGGTAAGAGTATGGAAGCAAGACTTGAATTTATGTTAAAAGAGAACTTGCTTGTAAGAGAGTGGAGGTATTGGACCAGAGATACCAAATCACAAAATTAGCCAAAAGAACAAGATAGAGCATTAAGAAAAAACTGAATTTATGCAGGTTCAGGAATGGGCCCAGGGCTACGTGTCAATGTACACTGGACCATCTAGTAATGTAGTGTCAAAACATACGATCTTTTGAGTCCTAGCCTACTCCTAAAATGTGGCTGTGAGTGAGGAGAGGCCTGAGTTCGTTTTTCTTCTACTTGCTCTCTTCCAGCTTTTCCAGTTATTTCACCATTCATGATGGTGAAACAGTAAGATAGAGAAATTTAAAACTTGAGTTTTATTTAGAAAACAATAGGCTTTTCAGCCACAAGGAGAATAGAACTCACTGAGATCAGAGCTTGTGGCAGGGCCCCACGATGCGCACTGTGCTGGCTGTGGTATGTAGGTGGTGTGCTGTTTCTGAGGCTCAATTGCTCAATTCTCTCATTGTGGAGCAGGTTAATCCCCGGCCTTTAATAAGTGGAATACATTTCAGAGGAATCTGGGCAATGAGGGTTTTTTTTTTCTCCTACTTTCTTTTATATAAATTTGGGGATTGGTTTGCGGACTCTCCTCACATACAAAACCCTTGAGTGCTCAAGTTCCTTAACATAAAATGATGTAGGTTTGTGTAGAACCTGAGTACCTTCTTCCATATGGTGTCTCTAGATTACTTGTAGTGTCTAATACAGTGTAATAAGTGTGTACTTGTTATAATGAATGGTATAACAAGTTTTTCTCTTGTTAGAGAAAAAGAGAAAGGCTGAGAAAGAAAAAGGCTGGTTTAGTGCAGATTTTTAAAAATAATTTTGATCTTTAGTTGAGTTTGAGGATGTAGAACTGGTAGATAATGGACAGCTGACTGTACAATAAAATATACATGAAATTCCAAAACTGAAGAAAGTAGAAACTTGGAAATACTACTTCTGTTAAGACAACCTTGTTTTGGATATTAAATAATTTGCCAACTTTCATTATCTTGTACCATAGGTAAGGAGAAGTGCTTTGAACCTAAGCCTCAGAGTTCTATTAAAAAAAATGGCATAGTGGAAGAGAAAGAAGATGACGATGGAGACGTCGGGGTTGATATTGATGATGAGGAGGAGGATGAGGATGAAGAAGAGGAGGAGGAGAAGAAAGAATCAGAGGTGACCAAGCGTATGAAAGTTGAGAAGAGGTAAGCTGCTGAGCCTGTCAGAGATAGGAAATCCTCCTGTCTTCATGGCCCCCTTCTGCAGAGTCAGTATGTGTTGTGAATGTGAGTGGCTGATGTGTCACATCCTTAATTCAGACTGTGCCATTGCAGAGCAGTCAAGACAGCAGCCCCTGTAGAAAGCAGTGATGAAGATGATTCACACGAGGACAGTGACCTGGAGGAAAGAGGTAGCACTGATGATGACGAGGAACTGGTATCAAGTGATAGCAGCGCTGAAGAACAAGAGGATGAAGGTTTGCCTTACATTTTAAATGTGTTACTGAGAAATGCACATTGGTTCTGTGCCTAGTCCCACCCTTCTTTGTTTTTGGCATACTCTGGATCAAACTGAGGGCCTTTACACTGGACTACATCCCCATCTCTTGTTCTTTTAATTTATTTTATTTTTTATTTTTTTGGTGTTTTTGAGACAGGATTTCACTGTGCAGTTCAGGCTGGCCTTGAACTCACTTTGTAGCCCAGGCTGGCCTCAAACTTATAATGATACTTCTGCCTCAGCCTCCTAAGTGATGGAATTACAGGTGTGTGCCACCATACCTGGCCTGTTATTTTTAATTTTGAGGCAGAACCTCACTAAGTTGCTACGTAGTGCATGCTGGGTTTGAACTTGTGATCCTCCTGCTTGTATCTTCCAGAGCTTTTAGATTTCGGGCATGTACCACCGTGTTGGGCTTCAGGACTCTTTTTAAGTAGGACCCTAAATTCTATCAAACTTTTGTTTAAATACTTAAAAAAGAAGCTTTTATATTCTTTTCTTTTAAGATGATTTTGCACGCTGGTTTTATTGTTTTGTTTTTTAAATGAGTTTGGAGTGGTGCTTGAGGATTAAGAGTCTTTCTTAGGAAATTTAAAGCCTCACTTTTTGCTGAGGTACTACTTTTTTTTCTCTTGACTGGCCATATTAAATGAATATTGGATAAATAGGATATATTACATATTAACACCAAAAAAGATTTTAAATGACTCTTTTGAGTGGAGGTAGGGATAAAGGACTGGGTAGTGAACTCAGGCTTCCATGACAAAGCACAACAAACTGGCAGCTTAACCAAGAGAAATGTACCTTCCCACAGTTCTGGAAGCTGGAAGTCTCAGCTCAAGGTGCTGGTTGATTCAGTTCCTAGAGAAGCTTTCTTCCTGACTTGCAAACTGCTGCCTTCTGCCTGTGTCCTCAGATAGCTTTCCCTGTGTGCTTCCGGAGGTAGAAAGAATAAATAAAAACAAGCTCTGGTCTCTTGTAAGGACACCACCCCTGTTGGATAGAGCCCCACACTTATGACCCTACTTTACCTTAATTACCTCTCTTAGTTCTCTGTCTCCAGATACAATCACTTTGGGTATTAGGACTTCAGTATATGAATTTTGGAGGAACACAGTTCAGTTCATAACAAGGACATGTGGGAGCATTTTGTAAAACTATTACCAATCCCCACTGCTGCCTTTATTGAGAATAAACTCATTTAGTGAGGAAGGCAGTACATTACAGAATGAGAAATGGCCAATTAGTGATCTTTTGATTTGTCTGATTAGATATTTTTGTTCAGCTATTTTGTTTCCTTTTCTGTAAGTCTGATTTGTTGGCTTGATCACATGAGAAATCTGAGGAAATATGCTTTTTCTGGGAAGATAATGGTAGCTACCTTAGAATGGAAGCTGTTCCAATGACACCATTATGAGATCCCCAGATTAGCTGTTTCTTACTATTCTTTCTCCTAAAAACTTTTAAGAACTGGTTTGTAATAATGAAGGTTAAAAGGCATAGTGCAGGAAGCTTATAATAGGGAATTAAAAGTTCCTCACCAATCTGCCCAGCAATTCCCACAAGTAACTGCTGTTTTTTTTTCTCATGTAAACTTCCAGAAGTGTTCTGTGTGCAAGTAAGCATACATGCTTATTCTTCAGAACATGCAGTGAGTATCCCTTAATAATCAGATCCTCAGGCTCATAGGACACATCCTGAGAGACTACCACTGTGAGTGTTTGTTATGTGTCCAGAGAATGTCTTACCACAATCACAAGCAAAGCACGTACATGTACACATGCACACAATATAAATGTATGTTTTTATGTATGTGAATGTGTATATTTTGTCCTCAAAAGTTCTACATATTATGTTTTCAGAAAGTTTACCCTATCATAGCAGTATATGAGAATATCTTTTTCTCACAAATAAATTTTGTTTTGGTTTTTTGAGATTGGGTCCTGCTATGTAGTTCATAGTGGCCTTGAACTCTTGGCAATCCTCTTGTCTCAGCCTCTTGAATGCTGGCTGGAATTACAGGTTTGTGCAACTCTGTGTGACTACACATTTTTCACTAGATTGTATTCCATTAGTCTTTTTGGTTTTGCTAATTTGTAGGTGAAAAATAGTGTCTCTTTTCTTGGACTATATTTTCCTTTTCTTTCGTTCATTCTTTTTTTTTTTCCTTTTCTTTTTTTCGTTCTTTTTTCGTGCTGAGGGTTGAGCCTGGGGCATGGCATATGCTTTACCCCCAATACCTCCAGCTTCTTAGCTGCTTTTCTTTCTTTCTTTTCTGCCATACTGGAGATTGAACTCAGGGCCTCGGCATATCAGGCAAATGTCCTATCACTGTGCCAAATCCTCAGCCTTTTATTTAGAGATGGACTTACTAAGTTGCTGAGGCTGGCCTCGAATCTGAGATCCTTGAGCCTCAGCCTCATGAGTAGCTGTGATTACCATCACTGTGTTTGGCTGTTTCTCTTTCCTATATTTTTCAGACAGGGTCTTACTATATAGTTAAAACTGACTTCAGACTTGCAGTGATCCTCCTGCCTTCTTAGCCTCTTGAGTATTGGAATTACTCACCCAGTGCTTCCACACCCAGCTTGGCTGTTTTTCTTTAATGATGAGTTTTCATGTTTAGTTGTTTATCCTTTGTCCATTTAAAATTTTTCTTAAAATTAATTTATGCAGATCTTTACATATTTAAGAAGTTAGCTCTGTGTCATATGATTTGCACCAGTCTTTGTTAGTTTATTTTTTTTCTTACCTTAGGTATGCAAATCTCAAAGACAAAGAAGAGGAAATTACCCTCTGATGTGAATGAAGGGAAAACTGTTTTTATCAGGTATGCCTCCTGTCTCAAGAACCGGTTTGCATTGTCTTCATAGTTCTCCTCCCACCCCATCTTGTCCTGCCCTGTCCCATCCAGTCCCTTCTCTATTTTGTCTTCCTTTCTCCTTCCCCCGCCCCTCCTTTCTCCCCGCATCTTTGCTCTTTTCTCCTCCTTTCTCCCCTCTTCTCTCCCTTTTTCCCTACCTTCTCTCCCTCCCTGCCTCTCTTCCTCAGTTCCTTCTTTGGCACTGTTTTTCTACCTAATCCAGAAGGTTAGATGCCATGAGACTTACCAAACAATGAGACATTTAGGAGAATCAGATCTGTGAAACAGAAGATGGGTAGTAGCAGCAGTCTTGGTGTTTTATCCTCTGAGATGTCATTTCTTATATTTGAAGTGGCATTATTGGAGCAAATCAAGTGTTTAACTGTTTGAATAATTCTGGTGCTGGACATTTAGGGAGAGTGCAGGGGTGATACCCACTTTGCCCAAATGATTTGGTGAATTTTTAAAGCAGAGTTGAGAATAAAGTGATGTATGCCACCTATGTCCAGGAAAAGGGGTGGCAGGGATTGGGGGTGGAGTAGATTTTACTGCGAGCTGCTCTTTCTGCTCTTCCAGCTACAATAGATTGGCATTTTCATAGGTTGTGTCTGAATCTTTTGGTTGTAGTAAGAGTAACTAATTTTGGCCACATTAAGTGAAAAAGTATTTGTTGGATGAACACTGGGATATCTCATAGAAGCAAAGTTGTTGAAGAGAAGACCTCAAGAAGGGGATAAAAATCTAGATCTGGGACCCCCACTGCTGGAGGAGGCTATGGATCTTTTCTCTGAGGACACTACTATTTTTTTTTTTTAAAGGTGTAACATTCTGTGTAGGTCAATTGCTCAAAGTGTACAGCTTAGTGAAATTTTTCACATGTATATATTCATGTAGCCACCACCTAGGTTATGATACACAATATTTATAGTACCCCGAAGTCTCTTTCTGGTGAAGCACTGCTATTTTGAACTTAGTGCGTCTTTGAACTTACTCTGCACCTACAACTTCTTGTCTTTCTATATGTTTATTTAAGTTTCAAATTCCTGGGGAAGATATTGGAGGTCATCCAGTTGGGATGAAGGGACAGAGTCATATAGCAGAAGCCTAGCGACTGAGGGCCACCCTGCCTTTTGGGCCTATTTTTGAGCAAAGGAGGGTGGTTATGAGGAAAGGACACTTGATGGTATTAGGATCTCATTTTGTCACTGACCTTCCTTATGACCTTTTTGGTTGTATTCCATAGAAATCTGTCCTTTGACTCAGAGGAAGAAGAACTTGGGGAGCTCCTCCAGCAGTTTGGAGATCTTAAATATGTCCGCATTGTCTTGCATCCAGACACAGAGCATTCTAAAGGTAATTGCTGTCAGTTAGCCTCACCTGAAAGTGTTTTGGTCACTGTTCGAGGCACTGACTACCTTACATGAGAGCAAAAGATGCTATTCTGAGAAGGCTTACAGTCCATTCCAGCCCACTGGCTTCTATAGAAGCCCAAGGACTTTCTGAAATACAATGTCAAACTCAGCATCTTTAATGGTGTTGCCAGCTGTCATTTTGTCTAAGCATTTTAAGCTCTTGCTTTTTTACTCTGGGTAATGAATTCTGTTTGTTGCTGTTCTTTGAATTTCAAATGTGATAGCATCTCATGGGTATTAATCATTCTGCATTGCTTGAAATTATTAGGATCTTTTTTTTTTTCTGTTGTTTTTGTTAAAGATGGAAACTGCCAGAGAACTTTGTTGCATGGCAACAGTCAGAAGAAAAACTATGTAGCAGGCATGCTACTTGAATCAATTTTTCCCCATAAAGCTATGCATTTTGTATTGGAAGAGTTAACTACTCCACATTCTAGTTACATTATTATTACAGAAACATCTTTTCAACCCATTCATAATCTTTGACTTTATGAGCTGGTGCATTCTAAAGCACTGAGTTCTTAGTTCTGATTCTTGGTTCCTTTGAGGTCTACCAAGAGCTATAAGCCTCTTCCCTCTGTGGGGAGGGAGATGCCACTTCAGAGAGTTTGTGGGCTCTCTAGAGCTTATCCATGGGTTAATAACTTTTCCTCACAGTGCTAGGGATCAAACCTAAGACCTGTGAATGCTGGGCAAGTGCTCTGTACCACTGGGCTATACTCCTATTTGTGTGCGTGTGTGTGCGCATGCGCGCACTTTGTTTGAACTTAAACCTTCTTCAAATTACTTGCTTTTCAGTGTTTTCTCAGCTAAAAAAATGTAAATAAGGCAGTACTGAATAGCTTCCTAGAGATTAGGTACATAGTCCCAGCTGTGCCGCTGTCTAGCTGCTTGATTTTTTGCAGTTAACTATTGCGTACTGTAGTTTCTTATATGTAAAATGCATGGATTCAGCTAGCGCTAATGACTTGAGATGTCTTCAAGCTCTAATAGTTACACTTCTTGGATCTTCTTCATATCCAGTTTTTCTAAAAATGAGCAACTAGAACTCATTATAATGTTCCCAGTGCAGATATGATATTATTTTACTTTGATGGTATCTAGTATCTTTTATCTCTTTTTGAGTACAGTAGTGTATTGAGTTGATAGTTTCAGAATATAGTCTTAATTGATTTGCTAGATGTCCTTTTTGTGAACAACTTGTGTTATGTTTAGTATGAACAATTAATGATTTTAAAAAGACATTTTAATTTTTTTCTTAATATATTGTCTTCCTAGCTTATTTTTTTTCTGGTATCTTTTCTGCCTACTCATGCATCCCAGTTTTCCTTTCATAATATCCCTCTGAGCATGTTGTTTCACTACCTAGAACAGCTAAATACTATCTGTAGACTTGTAGGGAAATGTTAGAATTGAACTCAGTACTGACCCTGGACATTCCAGTGATAAATTCTTAGCTACCAAGAAAGCACTCATTTTCTTCATATTAGACAAGTAGGCTAATCTACCCATTAGAAACATTTCCCCCTGTAATTTTTTTTTTTTTTTTTTTTTTTTGGTACCGAGGATCGAACACACAGCCTCGCATTTGCCAGGCGAGCACTTATGCTGCTGAGCCAAATCCCTGGCTCCCCTATATTTTTATTATACTTGTCCTACGGTACCAATGGGGCGTTAGTTCCAAGACCAAAACAGACACCAAAATCTGTGAATGTTAAGATTTCTTTTATAAAATTGCATATAACCTATGCTTTAAATCCTTCCACATACTTTAAAAAGTCATCTCTAGATTACTTGAAGTACCTAATAAAATATGAACAGCTGTTCAACTGTATTATTTTAGGTAGTGTTAAGAGAAAATGTCTATACATAGTAAGTATAGACACATTTTTTTCATTCTGTGGTTGGTTGAATCCACCAATGCAGAACTATGGAAGTGGAGGTTAATTGTAATCATCTCTTCCTGTTGAATATCTGTTAACGCTATATGCTGTGAGTCAGTGGTTCTTATTTCTAAGGCATTCATTCTGTTTGGGAAGATATAACCTACCCAGTGACATAAGAGATATGCGAGTGAGAGATGGGAAGGGGTAAAGACATGGAAGTAGGAGCCTTCAGCCCTACCTGATGGAGGCAGAGATAGCCTCACTAAATGGTGATCCTGGGGTTGGTCTGCCACATGTGTCTCTCAGTTAGGTGGCTGCCATTCATTCCTACAGGAGATAATGCCCCCTTAGCTCTAGGTGATATGGTAGTATTTTCATATATGAGAACATACTTAAAGTTTAAAGGGTTGCTAGCAAAATAATATGAAATTTTTATTTCTTTTTTGTAAGACATTTTTCTTTTCCTGTGCTTACAAACCTGCTTATTGTCAATAGCAGAAATTTGTTGGTCTGCTTGGCCCTACATTTAACCAATGAAGGCCTTGTGAAGATTCTAAAGCATGAGCCAAGAATTGAGTGTATGGCTTTCTGATTTCCTATGGTATTCATATGATAGCAGCCTTTTTTACCCTAGGATGCAGATCTTCTATTATCTGATGCCTCCCAAGTGACTCTGAGACAGTGAAATGTAATTAATTTTAGGGTTAAGTCGTTCCTGCCTCACCTACTAGTCCTTTAATAGGCACTCAGTAAATGATGTTGAATTTAGTGTTCTGCTGGTATTTTTCTACTGCTTTGTATGAGTTTTATTAAGAAGAGAGTCATAGAGGCTGCAGTACTATGATACATTAGAGACGATAAAAGAAATAATAAAATTTCTCATGGAGAACAGGCATACTATCAGATTTGCCTTTGACCCTTTTTCCCTAACATGGAGCCTGTCTTATAGTGCTTAATAAAAGGATGTTTCTTACCCTTTAGATTCTGTGTCAGGTTGTGGCTATTTGTCATATATAGTACTGTCTTTGGCTTCCTGGTTGATCTTGGATTTTGAGATTAACTTAATTTTGTGCCTCTGTGTAGGTTGTGCATTTGCACAGTTCATGACTCAAGAAGCTGCTCAGAAATGCCTCACAGCTGCTTCTCCAGAGACTGAGGTGAGAAAGCCTTTTGTTTTTCTTTTCAGTTCTTTTTGAGAGAGGGTCTTGCTATGTAAGAGGGTCTTGCTAGGCTGGTCTTCAACTTGCAGTTATCCTCCTGCCTTAGCCTCTTGAATAGGGATTATAGCCTTGCTTGCCCCACCATACCCAGCTTAAAAAAGTATTTCTTTTACCCTATAACAGTGGTGGTGAACCTATATCATGTGTGCCACAGTGGGCTGTTTGTATTGTTGAAGCTCTAGAAGATTTATATTACTGCCCTGTAAGATAGGAGACAGTGGCTCCTACAGGTAAGATCCAGTGTTCACACAGTTCTATTAATAATAAAGCTAATACTGAGAACTTGGTGTGTGTTAGGCACTGAACTTTACATGCATTGCTTTATTTAATCAGTGTATTGGTCCTATTAGGTAGGTAAAATCCCTATTTCTTAGGCTAGGAAACACATATAATAATGTCTGAGATTGATTACTGCGTGGGTGTCAGCCTCTATTTTAGACTGATAATATGAAAGACTAGGACAAGAAAGCATTAAGAAATCAATAAAGGCTATAGTCCCAGCACTCGGGAGGCTAAGGCAGGAGGATTGCTGTGAGTTCAAGGCCAGTCTGAACTTGATAGCAAGACCCTGTCTTAAAAATCAACAAAAAAACCAAGCAATGATGTGGAGCACATTGTGTAAGAGGTAAAGTATATATGATTTAAAATTTTTTTATGTGTTCTGTAACCAAATATACATTGTTTTGAGATGTTATCCTTTATTGTCTTATCTCTAAAGTTTTCTTGAGTAGAGTTAATACTACCATTTCATTAACTTTGTTTAAAATACTAAAAAATCATCTATTAACAGATCATTTTTCTCAATTTAGGTCTACTTTAGTTCTAATCAACTTCCATAAAGTAAATTCCTTACTGCTGATTACCCTTAGTACTATTTTCTTTTTCGTCTTTTAAAGACAGGGTCTCACTATGCAGTTTGAGCTGGCCTTGAACCTACTTTGTAGCCCACGCTGATCTCGAACTCACAATCATCCTCCTGCTTCAGCTTCTCAAGTGCTGGGGTTACAAGTGTGTGCCCAGTTACCCTCAGTAAATTGTCTTCTTTGTCTTTTGTTTGGTTGTTTGTTTTTTGAGAGAGTCTCACTATGTAGTTCAGACCAGCCTTGAACACACTATGTAGCTTTTGAACTCATGGTGACCCTCCTGTCTCAACCTTCCAAACCCTGGGATTATAGGTGTGCACCACTACACCCAGCGCTTTTTTATTTTTTATTTTTTAAATAAAGTCTTGCCATATGGTTCAAGGTTCAGTATGACCTTGAACTCACTTGATATATATTTCAGGCAGGCTTTGAACTTGCAGCAGTCCTCCTGTCTAGTCTCCTGAGTGCTGGAATTATAGCGTGTGTAGCACCATGCCCAGCTTGCCCTCAGTATGCCTTCTGCACAGCTATAATAAGTGTTGTGAGACTCAGAGATCCCTTGTAACCAGCCAGGCTGAAACATCCTACGGTGTGGCACTCATAGCATAATTGTTCTGTAGTTTGCTGAGTCCTTTTTGTTAGTGTTCCTCGTCAGGAGTTTAGTTTCTGCTTGCTATGTATTTGAAGAGAGGAATACAATCTGTTACAGGGTGGTGGGCTTAAACTGGATGGCCGGCAGCTCAAGATTGACTTGGCTGTGACCCGTGATGAGGCTGCAAAACTTCAGACAAAAAAAGTGAAGAAGCCTACCGGAACCCGAAACCTCTATCTGGCCCGAGAAGGCTGTGAGTAGGGGAATAAGGTGGGAACCAGGCTTTTAAGTAGCTGGCCTTGTGCTGTGACAGTAAGCTAGCAATTACATGTTTTGGGGCATGTTTCAAATTTTTAAAGAACCCAAATTTCTTCCTTTACTGGCTTATATTGTTATTCCACTTTAGTAAGTATGGCTTTCTATTAGGCAGCTTTCACCTATTTTTGAGGATTAACCAGTCTTGTTCTCTTTTCTTCCTGGTTGCATTTAGACTTTTTATTAGAGGATTGGCAAGCCAAAATGTAGGAAAAACTCAGGTTATCTTTGCTGCATCTGGAGGAATTGAAAATTGTGACTAAAATTTCTCTTTTGAATTATTCATAAATTTAAAATGTGCAACTAGCACCCTTCCTTTATGTCACAGGAAAATCAGAAATTAGCTTGAAGTTAAAAAAAAATCTCTTTTTCTAGGTCACATAGTATTTCTCAGCCTTCCTCCTGCACAGCTGCACAATCGTGACTGGTCATGTGAGCATCAGCCTTTGGTCTTAGGCCTCGCTGGCAGTAGGTCTGTTCTCTAAGCTGGCTTATCTTACTGCTGAGGGATTTGCCCTCAAGTACATGAAGAGCAGCTAAGTTTCAGGGGCAGGTTGTAGGTGGAGCATTTGGCATGCTAAATGTCTTAACTGTACTTATTTTCAGAACTTCCTCCAGCCCATTTCATCTTCACATATGTATGTGAAGGGAGAGAAGGAGAATAACAACAAAATCACAAAATGTTCAGTATTTTAGTCCTTCAGAGTACTGAAAACTCAAAACTTAGCCTTGTAGCCTATTTTTGGACCCAACCAAATGCCACTATGCCCTGGCCAACACAGTCCTATGGGCCCTGTCCAGAGAGTTTGCATCATTCAAATCACATTCCTCCTGTTGTTCAGTGAAAATTTCCTTGGTGATGTCTTGTCCTTTTTCCCTTTTTCTGCAGTGATCCGTGCTGGAACGAAGGCTGCCGAGGGTGTGAGTCCTGCTGATATGGCCAAACGAGAACGAGTAAGTGGCTTAGGCACCAGCCTTTAGGCTCACCATAGTTTGTAAGTCAATCAAAAACAATTACTGAATGTTGTATTGGCTTACCAAAGAGCCAAGTGTAAGTTACCTTATTTATAGCTTGTTAGAAAAAAACACAGTGAAGTAGCAAATACATTAGCCATGTATATATATATATATCCAGATATAATAATCAGTGTTACGTGGCATTGTATGAATTGGGCCTTATTCCAGTTTCCCTAATTCTTGCTGAGTAGTGTGCTGCCAGATCATGCAGTTGTCACAGAGTGGCTCGGTCAGCAGGGTGCTAGTGTTTGTGGCAGCTGTGTGAAGGGAGCTGCATTAAGGACGAACATGCTTCTGTGGTTATGGACCTGCCTTTGCCTCAAGGTGGCACAGTTGAGACAAGACACCATTCTGTCAAGTGTTGTCAAATAAATTCCAGTTCCTTTTGGAAGGAGGCACTAGATAATTATTTTAAGTTAGTGGATGGGTGAGGACCAGAAATAGATGTTAACTACAGTATTATTTATTATTTATTATGGATCATGTTTTGAATTAGGAATTTTTTTCTTTTATAATCTTGTTTTGGCCTCACATCAGTGCTGAGAGATTCATATATTTGGATCTGCAGTTCCATTTTGTAGATGAGAAATCAAATCTTTGAAATTTCATATGACAGCTAGGTGTGGTGGCATATACCTTAATCTCAGCGCTCAAGAGGCTGAGGCAGGAGAATTGTGAGTTTGAGGTCATCCTAGGCTACATAGCAAGTTTAAAGCCAAGGTAGTAAGACCCCATCTTAGAAAAGATGAAAACAAAAAGATTTCATCAGTTCAATGGCCTTCTACTTTATTTTATCTTATTTTATTTTATTTGGTACTGGGGTTTGAACTCATGACCTTGTGCTTGTCAGGCAGGTGCTTGTGCTGCTGAGCTAAACCCCAGCCCCTGGCCTTCTACTTTGTTTTTTTTTTTTTAATGTCTTTTTGAGACAGGGTCACGCTATGCAATTTGGGCTGGCATTGTACTCACTTTGTAGCCCAGGCTGATTGCAAACTCATAACGATCCTTCTGTCTCAACCTTGCAAGGCCTTCTATTTTAGATTTGAGGCTGGAGCCTATGATCTTACCACCTGTTTTTGAACCTTCCTTTTCCTATGTTGGATAATATAAGGCTATGGGATGGGCACCTCCCTCTTTTTCTGTATGTGGTTTTATAGGATGGATGGAATGGTCTTTCCTTTTAGAGGATTATGAACCTGTCTTTTTAAAGATGGATTAAACTATTAACAATTTTTTGGTTTTAAATTTTTTCAGTTTGAGCTACTGAAGCATCAGAAACTTAAGGACCAGAATATCTTTGTCTCCCAGACCAGGCTTTGCCTGCATAATCTTCCAAAGGCTGTGGATGACAAACAGCTCAGAAAGCTGCTGCTGAATGCCACTAGAGGGGAGAAGGGAGTGCGCATCAAAGAGGTAAGCATTGCCTGTCCATTCAGAACTTTGGTTCTCCTAGGTTAGACTGAGTGTTTGTTTTACTTCTTTGGTGCCAGCTTGTCAACAGATTCTCTTCTGGATGTGTTGTCTGTATGCAAGGCTAAGTTAGGCAGTTTTCTTGGTTTTGTTTTTTTCTTCTTAGAACTGTTTTGCATCTGACCAGATTACAGCAGAATGTGAGAAAGTATGATAAAAGTATAATAAAAAAAGTATAATAAAAAAGTTAATTTAACAAGTATTTATTTTGGGGTTTTTCTTTTCTTTTCTTTTTTCGGTACCAAGAATCAAACTCAGGATCTTGTGTTTGCCAGGCAGGTACTCTGTCACTGAGCTATATCCCTGGCCTCTGTTTTGGTTTTTTGAGACAGGGTCTTACTATGTAGTTCAGACCAGCCTTATATTTGCAGCAGTCGTCCTGCCTCAGCTTCCTGAGCATTGAGATCACAAGCCTGTGCCACCACACCCAGCTAACATGTATTACAGTAGATGCTGTAATGTGATTGCAGAGACCATACGAGCATTTTTTTCCCAAGGCCATTTTCTTTCAAAGAGAAAAAAGAAAAAAAAAATTGCAAAACACATCAGTCATGGGGCAACAATGGTACATACATGGCACATTGTCATCCCCAGATCATTTACCCAGGGCACAAGACATCTGCATTCAACGGTCTGAACAATACTAGCACAAATCTTTCTCTTCAGTGAACTCAGGGAAATCTGTAGTATAACTATCCTAACTATATCCATATACATATGTTTCTTTCAACTTCTCACACTAATGAGAAAATACAATATTTATACATGTATGTCTGATTTGTTTCACTTATGAATATGGTCTCAGTTTGCTTCCATTTACCTATAAAAATCTCCAGGTTATCCTTTGTGGCTGAGTAGTACTCCATTGTATAAAATTACCATATTTTTTTCATCCCTTCCTCAGTCGATAGACATTTAGGTTGTTTCCAAGATCTAGCTATTACAGATTGTGCTGCTATAAACATGGGTGCACATGTATCACTGTGGTATGATGTGTTTAATTCTTGGGAAGATACCCAGAAGGGGACTAGCTGGATTGAATGGGAACTATAGTCCTAGTTTTTTTAGAAATCTCTACGCTGATTTCCACAGTGGTTGCACCAGGCTACACTCCCACCAACAATGGAGAAGGGTTTTTTTTCCCCACAGCCCATCCAGCATTTGTTATTGCTTGATTTCTTGATAATAGTCATTCTTTCTTTTTTTAAATTTTTTTTTATTTTAATTTTTTTCCAAATCAAGAGAAAGAAGAAAAAAAAATTAAATTTCAAAACACATCCATCATGGAGCAGCACTGTATGTGACACATTTTCATCCCCAGATCATTCACCCAGGGCACCAGGCATCTGTCTTCAGTTGTCCAAATAATACCAGCACAAATCTTTCTCTTCAGTGAACTCAGAAAAATCTGTAGTATAACTATCTTAACTATTCTTTATATTCATATACACATATATATATATGTTGTTTCCTTCAGCTTTTCACAGGAATGAGGCAACATGATACATGTGTCTTATTTATTTCACTTAGGAGTATGGTTCCAAGTTGTTATCTAGTTACTATAAAAGTCTCCAATTTATCCTCCTTTATGGCTGAGTAGTATTCTACTGCACTAAAATACTACATCTTTTGTTCATTCATTCCTCAGTCAGTAGGCATTTAAGTTATTTTTCCAAGATCTGGCCATTACAAATTGTGCTGCTGGAAATATGAGTACACTTATATCGCTGTAGTATGATGTATTTAATTCTTTTTGGAAGATACCCAGAAGGGGAATAGCTGGGTTGAATGGAACCTCCAATCCTAGTTTTTTGAGGAACCTCCACACTGATTTCCACAGTATAACCATGTTATAGCATGTGCACATTTAAAATTTAATTGTAATTTAGAGATATTTCTGTGTGTACATTATATTGATTTTCTCTTTAGTCTTTCATTTGGTATAGCATAGTTTCTCAGCAAGACAGTGACTTAAAAACAGGCGTTCACTGTGTGTTTTTCTTGATTCCCCTGCAGTGTAGAGTAGTAGTATTGCAGGCTCGTTGTGGGTCCTGGATATAACCCAAGGGAAGCATCCAAGTCTCCCCTGTACTTGGACTTTTCCATTACACGAGAACAGCAACTCAGGGGTAATCCTATGTAAATAATCAGTTTTCTCAAAATAGCTTATGAAACCTCATTGCCCCAGTGCCTGCTATAGCCTGCTTAAGGATTTAGGGAAAAATCTGTTCAGAGAGCACCTGACACCGAGGAAAGGAAGCTGAAATTTCTTGTATTTTTGAGGCTGCATGTTAGGGCAGCTTTTTCCTATGCTTGAAATGTTTTTCTCAGTTACAACCATGAGGCCTCTTCCCTTCTTTATTAGTTTCCTTCCTGGGGGCTTTCTTCAGGAATGAGAGCTATGGACAATTGTCTACTCAGTGAGGATTTGTTATGTAACTGAGAGCCCTGTACCTCTTAGTTTGTATGTATTGTGAACAATTAGCTATCAGGAATTTTCCTCAGGAAGTCTTCTTGTATTTATGTGCTTATGTGTAGGTCTGTGTTGATGTCTATGAATTCTTAAGAAGCATCTAATTTGGTTTGTGCTCTCAGTAGGTGTATTTAAATTAGATGGAATTATTCCAGCATATTTGATTGTTATGATGGCATAAGTGAAGATTCTGTTTATATAAACTGATTTCCTTTTCCTCCATCCCTTTTCTTTTTTCCTTTTTCTTTCTTTCTTTTTTTTGGTCCCAAGATATTGGAGATCAAATCTAGTACTTTATATATGCTAGGCAAGTGCTGTACCACTGAGCCACACCCCCCAGCCCATCAGACAATTTCTTATTGACTGTGTTAAAGTTCTTCATGTCAGGCAAGGCTGCTTATTTTGTAATTACTGTGTCTTTTTCTAATTCTACTTACAGTGTCGAGTGATGCGAGACCTTAAAGGAGTTCATGGGAACATGAAGGGGCAGTCCCTGGGCTACGCCTTTGCTGAGTTCCAGGAGCACGCGCATGCCCTGAGAGCCCTCCGCCACATCAACAACAATCCAGACATCTTTGGGCCTCTTAAGGTTAGTGTTACCCCTGGGATGACCTGGTCTGAGGGCAGCTGCAGAAGGCGTGTCTTGTCTGTACCCTGTTTCCTCTGATGTGGGAGTGGTGGGAACAAGTAATAAGTGGGCAAGCGGGGAGGGAATGAGTGGCAGTTGCAGGTGCTAAGATGATTGGTTACAAGGAGCTCCTCACTGGGTAGGCTGTTTGTTGAACTGGCACTTTACCTTAAAGTAGAGGAAGTGAGCAGCAGCCTCTGTTTTGCAGAAGGAGGTTTGGGAGTGGGGGACAATCAGCTTCTTGTGCTTAAAGTCTAAATTCCTGAGGCCTGGGTTCAGTCCCCCTAGTGGGTGGGGAAGTAATAAATAATATTTTATCTTCCTCTGACACAGAGACCAATAGTGGAGTTCTCTTTGGAAGATCGAAGGAAACTTAAAATGAAGGAAATGAGGATCCAGCGCAGCCTGGTACAAAACTTAAATTTGTCTTTTATTTTTTTTAAGGGCATAATTAAACTTTAATTTTGTTTAGTTTGTGATGCTGCCCCCTTAGAATAGTTCTCTGTCCATTTAGGCTATTTCACCCTTTACTCCTGGTAAACTAGGACTTTCCAGGCCATCTTCTCCTTGCTGGCCCATCGTGTGTTAGGACAGAGGAGAAGCACATTAGTTTCCATACAGTGTTTTGTGTGAGCCGTTGTGAACCTAATGGCTGAGGTGAAGGTTTTATGCCATCTAATGGTTTTAGCTGTCCAGGTTTCTTTTTTCTTCTTTGAAAGATCTAGAAATGTGATACCTGGTGCTTTTAGTCCTGTTTCTTTCTTTCTTTCTTTCTTTTTTTTTTAAATTTTTATGTTTTAGTACTGTTTCTAATCTTGTGTGGTAGAGAGGGAATAGTGGGGACTTTAGAAACAGGCATACTTGTGTTCAAACCCTGATTCTGTATCTTTTTTGCTACATGCTCCTTGGCAAATTACTTCTTGAGCCCGTTTCTAAAATAGTTTAACAACATCTGCCTCACTTAACTGATGAGGATTACACAGTTGTTATCACTTACATTGCTACCTGTTCAGCACAGTGTCATTACTCATTCTCTTACCCATCCTCCCCTAGAACATATAGAACCAGTTTATTATGCATTCTCTAACTGCTGTAGCTCTCATCAGTTTCACACCTTAACTTGCCTATATACTGAACATTTGTAGTCTTTGTAGCCGAGGACATAACCAATGAATGGGTGATTTTGGTGATTAATATAGTGACTCTGGGTTAGAGAACCTGTTCAGATCAACATTTTATCTCATCTAATAACACCTGTCTCTTTCCTTTAGCTATTGCTTCAGGTGACCTGCATTATTTATTGCCTATATCCTTGCATGTACTATGCTTTCTGTGTAAAAATGTCCCTTTTCCCTGACTCAGAAAGATACTTCTCACTTTTCATATTCAGGTCAGATGAGTCTCTTACAAGTAGCCTTCTCCCACCTCTCAGATAAGTAATTTCTTGGATTTTTATTTCTTTAGTTTACTTTACTGAATACATCTCTTTTCTCCACCAGGCCACTTTATTTTATATCTGTTTCCTTAGAAACAGTCTGGCACTTAATAGGTGTATAGTAAGTGTTGGTTGTGTCAGTGTACCTATCTAGATCTGTAAGATGAGAGGGTAAAGTAATAGATACTTATTTAACATTAATTTCTTTTGAACCTTCTTGCTCTTTTAGTGCAGATAAATATAAAATTCTTTTATACATTTTTGTTTGAAATCACAGCATCTTTTCGTACTTATCATTTATTCTTTCTCTAATGCTTTTCCTTGCCTTATCTGAGTTTTTTACTTACATCATTTTCCTTCTCTCTGAAGAAATTAGTTCAGCATTTTTTCCAAAGTACGTCTGGTAACATGTTCCCTTGATTATTTGAGAAGGTCTTTATTTCTCCTTCACTTTTGAAAGATAATTTTTTTGGATACAGAATTCTGGGCTGATTTTTTCCCCCCACAACTTTAAATATCTCAGTCCCTCTTGCTCTGTGATTTCTGAAGAGAAATGAATATAATCTTACCCTTGTTTCTGTATATGGAAGATACTCCCCTGACTTCTTTGAAGGTATTTGTTTTTGATATTCTATAATTTGACTCTGACATGTCCATGTGTAGATTTTTTGGTGTTTATCTTTTTGTTTTTGTCTCAGCTCCTCGTCCTATAGTTTAGCATTATCATTGAGTTTGAAAAAAACTTTTTAGACTTTTTAGCCTTTATTACTTCATTTTTTCTGGTGGTTGCTTTCTTTCCTTTCCTGGTATTTCCCTTCCATGTGTGTTATATCTTTGTTGTCCCTCATTCCTGCCTTTTGAGTCTTAGGTGAATGCTGTACTCTACTTGTGAATTATGGAAAGGAGAATGGTTATTTGTGTCCCCTGCCCAGTAACCGTCACAGCGGCAAGGCTTCTGGGCTGCGTGTAGTTCCAGTTCCAGTTCTACTTTTCTGTAGTCGCCACCTATATGAGGGAAGAATTTTTCACCAAACTCACATTAAGCTCCTCCTCTGGTGAGTTTTTACAGCAAACATACCTCATCCAAAAGCCAAATAGCGATTTCTGTTTTATGCAGCAAAAAATGAAAATGAAGCCTGGAACCAGTGAGCCTCAAAAGCAGAAGAAAGAGCCTGTAAAGGAGAAGCAACAGAAGGCAGCTCAAAATCACACACAGGATCAAAGTGAGACCCCCCCAGCGCAGAAGGGGAAGGTGGGCTCCACCCCGTGGGCAGGGTTCCAGACCAAGGCTGAAGTAGAGCAGGTGGAGCTGCCTGATGGAAAGAAAAGAAGAAAGGTCCTGGCGCTTCCCTCTCACCGAGGCCCCAAAATTAGGTGAGATGCAGCAGGGCGGCACAGAACGGGTGACTTGTAAGCTCTTTGTTTTTATGTAGCTCTTTTCATCTTGTGGCATTCTTTTGGATATAAGATGCTTAGTGATATGCCAGGCCCACTTGGGGAGGAGGTGTTAACACATAAGACTCTACACCAGCAGAGATGTTACTCTTGGATCAAATGGTGGAGAGCCACGGAGGAGCCATCTAGGGCAGGCTTTGAAGCCATTTTTCTCTTTTGAAAAGCTTCTTCCTGTCCAGATGGCCAATTTTGTCTGCTGAGACCACATAACTTGAGGCTCAGCTGTAATTTGTGTTTGAGACAACAAATTTAGTGTTGCGTACAAAAATGAATCTTTATGAAATATTTGTTACGGTAATGAAAGTTTTCATGATTTATGTAAAGTTTTAAGCAGAAACAGAAACCCCAGCAAGTACGCAATGTAGAATAGTCTGTTGCAGGATCCCATTTTAGAGTGACTTAACTTATCTGGGCTTAGAAAGAACGATGAAAAAAAGAAAGAAAGAAAGAAAGAGAAAATGAATTTATCTCTTGGGCTGAGAGAACTCAGAAGGAGTTAGGATGACATTTGGCCATCTTATTGTAGGTTGCGAGATAAAGGCAAAGTGAAGTCTCTCCCTCCTAAGAAGCCGAAGGCCCAGATAAAGCAGTGGAAGCAAGAGAAACAGCAGCCTTCATCCAAGCAGGTGAGTTCTGCAGGGCACATGGCTATGGTATGTGGAGGCTTTGCTGTGTGGCAATTGACAGAACTGTGAGGCTTCTTGGGTTACAGCTATGTACTTTTGAGGGGATGTTAGGGAAGTCATAAAAATGGAAAGGGAAGTAAAATTAACCTCTATATCTATCACTTCGCTTCAGTAGTTCTATTTTCCATGCCTGCTTTTTCCTCACTAGGGTAAATGAAAGAAAACCTCACTTCCTATGTAAATATGCCTCAAGAGATGGACTGTGTAAAAAAACTGTAGATTGTGTCTCTAGTTGGTCAGGACACACACACATGCACATTGTGTCATTATCATATCTACTGAAATGAGTAAAAACCCTTTATATCATCTAACACATAGCCCACATTGAAATTCTCCTAGTTGCCTCCAAATGTTTTTTTATACTTGGTTAATACCAGGTAGAATCTGAAGTACTTTTTTTAAAAATCCATTTTATTTCAAGGAGAAAAACAAAACAAACTAAAACAAAAGAAAAAGAAACTGAAACAAAAGTTCAAAACATGTCAGTCAGGGCAACAGTGGTACATACATCGTTCATTGTCATCCTCAAATCATTCACCCAGAGCACAAGACATCTACATTCAGTTTTCTGAACAACATGAGCACAAATCTTTCTCTTCAGTGAACTCAGAGAAATCAGAGGTATAACTACCTTAATTAGTTTATGTACACATATATACATACGCCATTTCATTCAACTTCTCACACTAATGAAATAATATGATATTTACACATATGTGACTTGATTTATTTCACTAATAAGTATAGTCTCAAGTTGCATCCATTTACCTATAAAAGTCTCTGAAGTCTGCACTTAAACGTGTGCTTTATTTTTCTTAAATTTTTATTATTATGTACTTATCTACTCTTACACCTTTTTATTTCCTTGTACCCTTTTTTTTTTTTTTAAAGCCAGTCAAATTTAGCAGTGGGGGGGTGGTATACCAACTTTAGTGACACTAATGTTAATAAGTTCTAATAACCCACTGCCATCGGACCAGCCGTATCCTTTTTTTTTGAGACAGAGTCTTTTTTATAGTTCAGGTTGGCCTCAAACTCAAAGTGATCTTCCTACCTCAGCTTCCTGAGTAGTTTTAACAACTAATGAGTAATATAATTTTTAAAACTAATGAGTAATTTGTTTTTTGTATTCACGACCTTGAGCTTGCAAAGCAGGTGCTTATGCCGCTGAGCTAAATCCCCAACCTGAGTAATGTTATTTTAAACCATTATTTCATATGGGTTGCAGAATGATGATTTTCTAATTCAGGCAATTATTTTTAAATATTTTAATAGAATTCTAGAAAGAAGAATCTTGGTTACCACCATTTATATGGAAATGCTTGCTTTTTTCCTTTCTGCATCAAGTTTCCAAAGTAATTGCCCTACCAATGACTGAAATTCTTTAGTATTATGAAGTCTTGAGTTTTATATACTCAATATGTCTTAATCAATTGTAGTCATTTTTGTTTTGGTTTTAGGCTATCACAAGCCTCTTTAGGTTGGCTCCTGTTCTGATGTGACCTTATTGTTCTGGGCAGTGTTCTTGCTTTCTAGTACAGGATGTCCCAGACTGATCTTATGTGCTTTTTCTAAAGTGGAGGCATTAGCTATTTTTCTAGGGTCTTATTCCTTTTAGTGGAAAATACTTAGTCCTATGTTCTTAACAATTTGAGATCAAACTTTATTTTTTCTTCTCTAGTCTCTCTCCTTTAAGAGTGAAAGAAGCATCAACTTTGCATCCTATTCAAGAATCTCTCTTGGAAATTTGTGACTTTGTATACTATATTCTAGGACCTATCTCTGAAATTCCATAAAATGGTAGTATTCTTCATGAGGGTAGAGGCAGGTGAGGATGTCCAGATCCTGAGTCATGAAGAGGTTGAAGTGAGCATTTGGGAGCTAGAGTTGAAGAGGCCATGAAATACCCACCCAGCACTTTGGTTGAGTCCTGCAGCCATGCAGTCTTGGTCTGATCCCAACCATTGGGTGATTCTGTTTGAGCTCTTCTCTGCAAGGATCTCTGTGAAAGCCCATCTCTTCTGATGGACATGGTATCTGTACTTACTTATTTTCTGTGTTGGGTGGCCTGAAGGTAAGGTGCTATTTAGGGTTTGAAAATAATTATCTTCTACCTCTTTTCTTTTCCTCTTTAGGTTCTTAGGAAAAAGGCTAAGGGAAACAAGACAGAAGCTCACTTCAACCAGCTGGTCGAACAATATAAGCAAAAACTGTTGGGACCTTCTAAAGGTGCACCTCTTGCAAAGAGGAGCAAATGGTTTGATAGTTGATGCAGCTGTAGCCTGGGTGAGAAGATGGGTATGCACTTTCTGGGGAAGCTCAGAACTTGTCCACCTTTCATGTCTTTCCTGAGGGAAGGAAGATTCCTGGAGAGCCTGCTGTTGGAAGACTTTCTTGGCTTTGCACTTCTGAACTGTGGTCCCCATCTAATGTGGTTAGTCACAAATACCCTAGAAAAGTCATGATGCTTCTTGCATATTGTCTATATTACTGTGTGAAGTTGCGTCTATGGTTATTACCCCATTTTTTAAATCTCTGATTCTCAAATGGAAAAAATTGTAAAAAGCATTCTCGAGTACTGAATTTTTAAGAGGTATATTTTGTTAGGTACCGCCTAAATGAGATACTGTGTGGCTTTTTGAATAACAGAGTGGATCTTATTTCTAATGTATGTAAATTTGTTATTATTTGGGATGTTTTGAACATTCCTGACTAATTCAGTTATTTGGTCCTGTATACTCTAGGAGTTGCTTAAGTAAGAACAGAGAAAAATGTGTACTGACCTACTCTGTCTGCAGGTGGGGCACACTGAGTTAGCAGTTGAGGATAATAGGCCTGGCGCAGAGCAGCACTTCCTGAGTATCTGCCACATGAGAGGGGAGTGGCTGGTAGTTGACTAGATCGGTTTGCAGTGGTACAGATGCCTGCCTGCCCAGTGATGTCTGCATTTCTCTCATGCAGCACTTCTTCCTGGGGCCTGAGAAGTAATGGATATGGGAAACAGCAGAGCACACGAAATCCAGGCTTTGGTCTAGGTGCCATTCTGTGGATTCTCTTGGGTCTTAGTTTCCTTATCCACAGAATAAGCAGTATAAACATTGTTTCCTAGCTCTAAGATCTTCTAAGCTCATTCTTGTCCATATTCAAATTCTTTATCTTTTCTGAAGAAAACTGGGTAGGAGGTGAATATTAGGGAGTCAAAGTCCACAAGGATCCTGCTGACATGAAGAATGGGCAGAGTTTGAAAGATGAAAATTACTGGGGACAAACACAAATACCTAGCTGCACACCTTTGGAGGGAAAGTTGGAGTCATTGAATTCCCATTACAAAGCAGCATTCTAGTGTATGGGGCTTTCAGGCTGTCTCAGTAGACATTTGAAATCTTGAGTGAGGTGCTGTACTCTCTGCTGGTCAGCACCTGCAAGACAAGTGCAGTGACCAAAATACCAGTGAACTGGTCATAGGCAAGTGAAAATTTGTTATTTTCACTGTTCTCTCTGCTTCTACGAGCGTTTGAAAATTTCCATCAGAAACATTTTTTTAAAAAAGTTAGATGAGTAGCTGAAGGAAAACGTATGGGCCTGCCTTGGAATGGAATTCATTGGCTGCAGAATCCAGAAGGGGACTCGAGAGTCCAGAAGGGTGTGTGGAGACAGATTCCACAGGGAATCAGTGTGGTTTAGAATGAGGAAAAGCTGTTTAATGTAGTTGTCAGAGAAGTATAAGCCCTTTTCTGTGATGATACCGGTGTAGGTGGTCTCCAGTGCCACAGAATTATGCCAGAGGAGATGGTCAGGTTTGGTTCGGTCATTAATGTTTGGTCCCAAGATGACCGGAAGACATGCCTCATGTTTCACCTTAGTTCTTGAGG